TTTTTCTTTTTTTTCAAGTTTATGGCGTTCTTTTTTTGAACTTTATTTTTGGGAAGGAAAAAAATAATGGGGCGAGCGCCGCCTCGGGACCTTAAAAGGGGAACCCCTTTTTTTAATACTACCGACTTTAAGGCCGGGGATTTTTTTAATAATCCCCGCGACCTTAAAATAGAGGGGCGGGGGGGATTGGGGGGGAATCCCATCTTGGTATGTTGGAATGGGGGGGGGGGCGGAATGTATGTAATTCGGGAAAATTCGGGGAGCTTTTCATACCTTAAAGAAAATTGGAAACTCCCCCCCCCCCCCCCCCCCCCCACATGTCATCCCGTTTTCCAGCGTCGAACAGTAGCGGTAAAAAAAACCTAAAGAACAAAAGAAGTATACCAGGACCAACTACAAGCCCTCCGCCCTTCATTGCTTCTGCTCCATCTTCCGCTTCTGAGCATCCTTCTCCTTCAACCTCTCCTCCTCCGCCTCAACCATATCCTTCCACAGCTCCTCGCCCTGATACCGCTCCTTCTGCTTCGCCTGCTTCGTCTGCGCCTGCTTCTCCTTCATCTTATCCAGCAAGCCCTTGCCCCTCCGCTGATCACTAATCTCCATCGCTGCCGTGCCACACATGACCGCCAAGGTCAGGCCCTGGGCATACACACGGGCCTGCACGATCTTCTGGCCCTTGGTCAGGGCCGTGTTCCGGCTCACCATGGCCCAGGCGGCAATCATACTCGCTGCCCACGACACGGTCATAATCTTATATTTCTCCTTGCGGATGAATTCCCACATGCGGTCTGTGGTAGACATGGTGGCCAGCTCTTCCTTGCGGAGACGGGCTTCGCGCTCGCCGAGGAAGGCATGTTCGTGGTGTTGGGAGGCTTCGAAGGAGCGGGAGCTGTGGTCGGCGACGATGATGCCCAAGAATGTGCCGGAGGAGGTGACGAGGAAGGCTTTCATGGGGAGCGTGAGGTTTTTGATGGTTGGGACGCGCTTGGAGGCGGCTAGGAGGGCGGCGGTGCCTCCTACGAGACCAACGACTGTACCGACTGTTCCTCCACGGAGGACAGCCCTGGAGAAGTTTGCATGGTCGTTATTTTATGTGTTTTACTTGCTTTCCTCCCTTCATTTGGTTTCTAGTTATTGTAGGAGGATTGGGTTTTTGCATACCTGTAATGAGCATCTTCTTCTTCCTTCGTGAGGATCTTCATGATAGCGAACTTGTGATGGGGGTGGTGATGGTATAAAGGCGGAGGATGTTGTTTGTATAACTGATCTCTCGAGAAAGGAAAGAGAGTTTATCAGTATTGATATCGAAGATATATGTATATGTAGGATGGTAGTATGGGTTTGCGGGCGGCGAAGGTTCCAAGTTCGGGGACGGATGATGTAAATATAAGAAGTTGCTCGTTTAACTAACTAGTTAGTAACTACGTCGTAACGTTAGTCAGCCAGCTAACAATTAACTAATTAATAGTCAAGAACTGTTCCCGGGATGGAAAAAAAAAAAAAAAAAGCTTCACCAGCAAAATCGAAAGTGACGGAGAAAGCAGGGATCGCGGGTGATTATGTAAGGCCCAATAATTTGGAATCATCGCGTCGCTTGGTTGGACAATCCTTGCTTGCTCGGGGTTTGAATAATAATAATAATATACTGTCACAATGCGAGCGTGACTTCTGCTGCTGCGGGAACTCCTGCGGCGGGCAGGTACCGGCGCCATTGCCGGCTTGCATCTCCGGCTTCTCCGCGGTTTCCATAGCCGGCGACAACTTGGTCAGGTGGCGGCCCCGTGACCTGGGCCCCAGCCCAAGAAGGCAACCTTGGAAGGGGCGAACAACATCATCATATACTGCGTACGCACAGTAGTACGTAGTAGTAGTATATGATCTCTCCTGATATGCGAATCAGAGGCGGACAGATGGTCACTGTTGGTCTTGCTGGAGGGTTTATGCGCCACCCACCCCCCGTGTATTTATCTAGTTCCGACCAGAAATACATAGGAAAGCAAAATTGTACTGTACATGTACATGTACATGTACATTACATACATACATTACATACATCAGAAAATGATATATCCCTCCCTCCCTTCTTCCAAAACGCAGCCCTGACTCTACGGAAAATGAAGTCGAAGGGGGGAAAATATAAAATAAAATAAAAAATCAGCGCTGGGGAAAATAAAACAAGTTTGGTATCGTTCGTAGCACGAAGACAACAAAATAAGTGTTGGTTTTGATGGAATATTCGTTTCCCTCTCACCGAAGGGTCAAAGGGTATACCACTTAGCTAGCGGCCCCAAACCGCCGCCTCGCCTGGAACAATAGCAGGACAGGGGGATGGGATGGCTGGCTTAGTTTTTCTTTTTTCTTTCCTTTTTTTTATTTATTTATTAAAGCCCCGTTTACCTCTTCGACGCCTTCGTTGCCGCCGCCTGTCGTGCCTTCATCCGTCGAAAACGATCCTCACCACTTGAGCCCAAGGGACGCGCAAATCTGCTTTCCTGAACTGTGGTTGAACGCGGTACGATGGTATACGACGTATGTCCAGCTTCGACACGCGCACGATTGGCGAGGCGAGGGGGCAGAAGCTCTCGTGCACGAGCCTCCGCAGCTGTGGCTTGGGCTGATACACCCTGGTTGCGAGAAGCGAGTTGACTATGGTAGGAGGGAGTGAGATGAATGTTAACAAGATACAGGTGGTCGAGATGGGCCTTTTCTTTTTCTTTTTGCTTTATCACACACAATATGGGACACAATATGGGGAGGACCGAGATGCGAATAAAGGAATAGACAAGACGTACCTAGGATCAAAATCGGCTTCCTCGTAGACTCTCTTCGAATAATCATCACTGCGCTGCAAAATGGGACGAGTCCATTCTGCGAGAAGTCGTTCCGCCTGTCGCTTGATTCCAATCTCAGGCCGCTTGCTCTTGGTGTAAAATACTATGACCCTGCCAATGCCACTCGCGATGAGCGTCTCCTTGTTGATGGGGAGTCTGCCCAGTGCGTCAAGGAGGTCACGCTGAATATTATATGCCGGCAGGGAGCCGTCGTCCAATGGCTCCAGGAAGAATTTGACAGCTTCTAAAAGGTTGATTTCCGGGTCAACTAGACTGTTGATATACTGGTTGCGATTTAGGAGCGAAACAACTTCCGGGAGCATCTTCAATTTGTGCATCGCGGGCCGGTTCTCTTTCCGCGCTATGCTGTCCAGTCTCGCAGCATCTGTCATACGTCTTCGAACATCTTCAATCTCCGCATCGGCTAGGTCGGCAAGATCCTATAAACAAAATTTCGATTAGCGCTTGTTTTCCCATTTCTCTCGCCATCTTCAACTTCAGCTCCCCAGTCAGTCAAAAGGTCTTCTTCACATACAATGCCATCTGCCTTACGAGCTCGGCGTTTCGTAGGCTTCTTAAGCTGCTCATCCATCATACGATCAAGCGCCCGTCGACGACCTATAAAACAATTCCCGCCCTGTAAGTAACAAAAAAATAAAACCGTAAAACCGTAAAACCGTAGATTCAGGCAAGAGGACATACGTGTAGCAGGATCCAACTCCTCCTCATTAACCTCCTCCACAACCTTCCTACTACTCCTCTTCTCACCCCCTTCTCTCCGCTTCCTCACCCGCTTCCCCTCAATCTCCTCCCTACCACTAAACACGTCATCACTCTCTTGCCTCCGGCGGCTCTTCTTCTCCCGACGCCCCTCTTTATTCTTCCTCCTTTTCCGCTCCTCTTCCTCTTCCTCGTTGCGGGCGCGCTTATGTCGTCCAATGAGCTTTAGGTTCTCCTCGTCTATGGCGATGGCGGGACGTTCGTCAATGGAGACATTTGCTGCGTCGAAGTCTTCGAACTGCGCGTCGTCGACGTCAGAAAGGAGAGATTCATCGTCGGAAAGGTCCACGTCTGCGATGCTAGCGTTGGCGGTGTTGTTTTGCGGGCTGTCGTCCTCTTTGTCCACCAGAGGGGATTCGGGAGCAGGAGCAGGTGGTTCCGGCGAGGAAGACATGGTTGGCAGCTCCCTGCAAAGGAGGCTTCTATAGTGATTGACTTTGTTCTTTTTGTCTTCTTTTCGTATCCACTGTTGAAAGAAAGGCGCGTCTCAAGTTATCTTCGGAGGGAATAGTCTGCCGAGTGAGGGAAATCTAAATGGAGCGGCTAGCGAAAGAACAAACCTGGTTTTGCGCAAGAGATATAGGAGAGAAGGAGAGAAACTTGGTGAGATGCAAATATACACTGTAATTTCAAGGGAAAGGCTTGGGGCGTTGAAGTGTGAATACTGGCTCTTGTGCCGGTGGCGGGTTTGGAGGTTCCAGCGAGGGAGAGTTCGATGGATGCGGCTTGGGCGAGATTGCAGGTGGCCCGTGCGTCATCTTGAAATAAAAAATAATCGTGACCTTGATTCAGGACATACATACATATATATATTGAACATCATTGCAACACCCGCTATATTATTTTAAAGCTCTCCTTTCAATTCAATTACTACCATTTCATTTTCCCCATAGGCCTTCTCGAGCCTCCCTATCACAACCTCACCTCTTAAATCATGTTTGCTCCAGGTACGTTCGCCGGAACGGTCATTATTTTCTTCATCACCTTTTGCCCAGTTAACCTCATTAACAAAATGTCGTGACATACAGGGCCCCCGCAGCTCTCTGAGGCCGAGATCAAGGTCCGTTTTGTTATCCTTCCTCACTACTGTCCCTTTCGATTCTCGATCCCCTACTCGATGTTTCAACGTCGCAGAGTGTTGGCAAGATATATAAATACGCGGGATGCCGCAAGCTAGGAATAGAACGACTAACTAACAGACGAGAAATATATTAGGCCGGAGAGAAGGAGGCATGCCAAACCGTGAAGATAGTCATTGCAAGCAGCATTGCCCTTTATCTCTGTATGTTGAACCTTACCCTCCCATTCCATTCCCGAGCTCTGCCGAAAGAAAAAAACAGCAAAAATTGAAGAAGACCATGCTTACTCGTTCCTTGATTTTTTCTACATAGCACCCTTCGCGATTAGTTTTGTCAAGAGCCTTTTTTAAGCTATGTGGCGGAGTATTTATAATACCTTTGGCTGTCTTTTTGGGAGGGAACTATGATACATAATTCTCGAGGGACTACAAATATTTGCATTTCATATGGGATCTATCAAACCCGCAGGGTAATATTGGATTAAATAAAGCAAATTCGAATGACGCCAGTGGTGGGAATGCATTTTCTGATATCTAAATGATCCATACGGGGTGTTCAGTTCACACATTGCTATGGGGCGGCAGGGAATTGGTTGGGTGGCCTTGGATATATTGGACGCCTGTGTACTGTATGTCCGCGTTGAATACTGTACGATAATTATCTGAGCAAAGGGTTAATTAGATGGTTGGATCTAAAACGAACAATAGATCAACAAGTATTGTATCTTGCCCTTTTCATGCTAGGATGAAACCACTACCAGTATGTCCGCTCCGGTAACGCCATTTGTGATGTCCCCGACTAGAAAGATGATAAGATAAAAAGAGAAAGAGAGAAAAATATTTTATTTCGCTCAATTCCATATTAATATTAAATGGGCGAAGAACAAAAAACGAAAACCAACGAGCGCTTAATCACAGGGAGCAGTATTCATGTTGAGGATCCATGTATTGTTTCAAAATCCTTCTGCGCAGCAGCAAGTTCCTTATTTAGATGCTGGATTTGTGACGCGTAGTTGTCCAGAATCTAGCCAACTCGTTAGCAAAAGGGACCTGAAAGTATCGAAAAAAATATCAAAAACTTTTTGGCCGGAGCATACCTTCTTGGCAGTTTTTAGAGCAGTCTCATCTAATTCATCATCGGCTTGTTGGTTAGCTTCTTGTCCAGTTCTTTCCACTTCCAGTTGCAGGCGCTTCGATTGTTCCCGGATTGCCAGCATTCTGGCCCAGATCTCCTCCGTGCGGCCATTTAGGGAGGGGTCAAAAACGGAGCGTTCTAGTTGGCTAAGCTTCTTTTGCAACTCCTCCTCGGTCTCATCCATGGCATACCCACGATTCCTCAGTATTTGTGTTTTTGCCGCAAGGGCAAGACATCTCTGACTGAGGACGACATGCCTTCGTCTGCAGGCTGCGAGCTTAACCGAAATTTTCAAGTCGTGTCGCGAGAGGAGTTCGGTGAGAGCGTTATTAATCTCATGTAGGCGGGATTGCATCATCGCAAGGAAATCCCTTTGTCGCTGCGCCCGTTTTCCAAGCTCCCAAAATCCTTGTACGAGCACAGGGACGTAAGCCGGACCTGGTCTTTTCCGCAGTGCATCCTCCCATTTTGCTTCATCGTCATTCGGACCAGGTTGGAAAAAGGGCGCATTGTCTTCGCCTACATTGTTGTATAGGTGAGCGCGAAACGGGGAGTTTCGACTAGTGGGCTGCCACTTATCGGTAACGATGCTCATTTGCATTGGTACCGTACGGTGAACTATGATAAAAGTGTCAGATTCACGGCTTAACACTTTCGGTGAAGATGGGTATCACTACTTACCACCAGTCATCCCTTGCCCCGGCGTCCATAACGTCGGCGCTGTTTGTTGAGATTGCCCGAGCTGTGGCTGTTGTTGTTGCTGTCCAGCGCCGAGTGTAGCCCCAAACGGTTGTTGCGGTTGAGTATTTGCTCCCAGGCCAGCAAAGAGTCCGCCGCCCTGCTGTGCCTGAGGCTGCTGTTGCTGCTGGGCGCTCTGACCGAATGCCGAAAACATACCACCGCCTTGTTGCTGCTGCTGAGGCTGCTGTTGTTGGGTAGTCGAAGTCCCGAAAAGGCTGCCGGTTTGCGGAGGTTGTTGCGTAGCAGAAGTAGACCCAAGTCCGGCGAACAAATTACCTCCTTGTTGCGGCTGCGTTTGAGTACTAGAGCCAAGTCCGGAGAATAACCCGCCTGGTTTCTGTTGGTTTTGTTGCTGGGTACTGCCAAACAACCCCCCTGTTTGTTGCTGCTGCTGCTGCTGGGTGCTTGCGCCAAAGAGGCTACCAGTCTGCTGCTGCGGTTGCTGCTGCGGTTGGCCGAGAGAGCCAAAAAGGTTTCCCTGAGGTTTCTGCTGGTTTGCTTGTTGCGCTCCGAATAAACTTCCCGTCTGTTGGGGCTGGCTGCTTGACCCAAACAGCCCCGTGGTGGACTGGGGCTGTTGAGATGTTTGCTGTCCAAAGAGTGACATAATGATTCAAGATAAGACGAAGCACAGCAGCTATTGCTCAGCTAGTCGGGGGAAGACCCACGCGGGTTGAGCGAGCACGAGAGAAATTTCAGCGACGTCGCATCAGGCCGCTTGGGGGGTACCTGTTGGCAAAATTCGGTACCGCGATCTATATTATATACCAGCAAGAGACGGTGCGTTAACCCTGATGGGTTCGGCAATAGACACGGTCAATACCACGTCCCCAATCCCTGCTGTCGCCGGAAGAGAGCAGATTCGAGTTGAAGCGTTGTTGCAAGCTTGTTGATTGTTTTTCTCGAGCTGGGTTGAGTCGCATCACGTGACGATTGGTTCCTGGCGACGCTAAACCACGAATGGGCATATTAGCAGCTAAGCGCTCTAGCCAATAAGAGGCGCCATAGACGCGTCGCGAAAACGGCAAGCTCCAAACGACACACCTGTTGAACATTCTGTAGTGCGTGAGCAAAACACCTTAGAGATACTCATATGAACTGTCAAGGAGTGTTTAGCAGCAAATATGGCTCCCATTGGAAAATCGGAAACACGAAAAAAGAAACCAAATCGAGCAGAGGAACGCGCGAAACAATGGCTAACAAAAGGCGGCATCTACCGAGAAGATTCAGACGATGAGCTTGGATATGAGGACCATCCATGGGAATGGATATATGAAACAGATCCACCTTCTACTGAAGACTCCCGATTAAACGGTTCTGGTGATGAGCTTGATTGTGTGACACCTACAAAGCGCAAAACTTCACAACGTTCACGGAGAAAAGCTCTTACGAAGAAAATCATAGGGGCAAGGACGGGCTCGTTTGAGTGCAGACTGGGGCAGGCTGTACTACTAAATTCGCCCGAGCCCGGAAAGGATTGGGCAGGTATTATCTGCGAGTTTTTAGAAGAAGACGACGACGACGACGAAGACGAAGATGGTAGTGGGGAGCTTGTAAAAAGCGCCAATATCATGTGGTTTGCATCCCCAGATGAATTTCTGTCAACGAAAAACAAGAAGCGGGAAGACGCTTTGCCTAATGAACAATACATAACTATGGATTTTAACGTCAACCCCTTGACGTCGATGAATGGAAAAGCGACTGTTCTATCGAAAGCCGCATTCGAGAAGCGGTACCCGAATGGCGTCCCCCCTAAAGGGAAAGCAGAATTGGCAGAGTACAACAAGTGTATCATTTGCCGAAGAGGCGTCAATCAGCTCCAAGGAAAATATACTGAAGAATTTATATGGGAAGAGGTCTTCGACGGGACCGAACAGGGCATGTTTGAGCTCATCGATTTTATTAAAGCTGGGCTGAAACGATCTCGCAAGCGACAAGTAATAGATGACGAGGTTGGTGGCCAATCAATTTCCCTTTTACGTCTAACCTGAGACTAATGGAATTTGTGCAAAGTATGCGGATGTCAAGGAACCCGGCATCGCGCCGACTACACCGCGGAAGAGGCACAAAACGTCCTCAGTGGCAGGGACGCCACAATCCCGACGACGCCAAAAGGTTCTCACCACTCCGACCCATAGGAGGTATGATATCCATCCATCATTCAAATGAATACCTATCTATGCAACATACTAAAACCCCGACAGGATTGTAGTTAAGAAGCCTGTGGAATTTACCCCGTTAGGAACTCGAATCCTCTCTCCATCTCATTTTACATCGTCTCCCTATCGACAAGCCCGCAACCTTCTACATGTTTCAAGTGTGCCAGCTTCCCTTCCGTGTCGGGATAGCGAATTCAACACTGTCTACGATTGTTTGCGTCTCGCTATCACTGACGGCACTGGAACATGCATTTATATATCTGGGCCTCCAGGCACTGGAAAAACTGCAACTGTTCGAGAAGTTATAGCTCAGCTTAATGCATCCGTGCTCGCAGAAGAATTAGACGATTTTGTCTTTGTTGAGATTAACGGCATGAAGGTTACAGACCCGCACCAGTCCTATTCATTGCTCTGGGAGGCTCTGAAGGGTGATCGAGTGTCACCATCTCATGCACTTGATCTTCTGGAAAGGGAGTTTTCTCACCCATCCCCTCGTCGAGTACCATGCGTTGTCTTGATGGACGAACTAGACCAGCTTGTTACTAAAAACCAATCGGTTATGTATAATTTTTTCAATTGGCCGGCATTGCGATATTCCCATTTGATTGTGTTAGCTGTCGCCAACACGATGGACCTGCCCGAAAGAACGCTGAGCAACAAAATATCAAGTCGTCTAGGCTTGACTCGAATCACATTTTCCGGTTATAAGCACCAGGAGTTAATGGAAATTATTGGGTCTCGCCTCAGTAACGTGCCGGGGAACATCGTTGACCCAGACGCCGTTCAATTCGCAAGCCGTAAAGTTGCCGCAGTCAGTGGAGACGCACGACGTGCCCTTGACATATGCCGCAGAGCGGTGGAGATAGCAGAACAAGCCAGTGAAGCTGCAGCAAAGGCCAAGCTGAAATCAGCCCTAACGCTGTCCAACGCGAATGGCATAGATATGGATGACATGGACACAAGCTCCCTCCCTCCAACACCAAGCAAAAGTGTATCGCGCCGAAACCGTATCGCAGGACCCGCCCAAAACAAGCTACCCCCGATCTCAGAAACCGAACCAGACCCCCTCCCACGTGTCACCATCGCCACTATCAAACAAGCCATCCAAGAAGCCACCTCCACACCTCTCCAACAGTCCCTCCGCTGCCTCCCACTAACCGGCAAGGTATTCCTCGCAGGCCTACTAGCCCGCATCCGCCGAACAGGCATAACTGAATCGACCTTCGGGGACATCCTTGACGAAGCAAAGCGAATCGCTGACGCAGCAGTCGCAGTCGCTGGTGCCGCCAGCAACAACTTGAGGGAGTATTTGTTGCAGAAGGGAAGCGACATGCGCAGATCACACGTTTGCGCGATGCGGTTTGCTGCTGTGGAGCTGATGAATTCTGGCATTTTGGCGCTGGAAGGGGAGTCGAGTGTTAAGGGGAGCGGTTCCGGGTTGGGACATGCGTTAGGAGGAGGGGATAGGAGCGGGAAGGTCAGGTTGAGGATTGCGAGTGAGGATGTGAGGGCTGCATTTCGGGAGGATGAGGAGGCGAAGATGTTGGGGTTAGGCTTTGAGCAGTGAATATATTTCGTTTGAGGTTTTTTAGAGGAGCATACTTGGGGTGTTACATGATTTTATTATACATATTGTTCAGCGATAACAGCTCGGGTATAGAATGGGTAGACGGACGGTTGGAGCTCCTGTTTAAGTAGATGAACACGTAGAAGTACCTTGTTAACATACGGGTTTACACTATTCTAGTAAATGATGCATTAGGAAAACAAGCTTATATTCCTCTGATAAATCATCCAAACGAACCTCGAAACACCATCCGAAAGAAGTGCGCAACGCCAGAAAAATGCATGACAAGAAGGTATTGTAGGATACAAGTATTTGTAAAAATAAAAGAAAAAATATATCCCAATACAAGAGAAAACTCCCACAATTAATATTTCTGCCTCCCCAGCGTCGGCTTCCAATCCAACGGATGTGTCTCTTCTGTAGCTTCATCATCCGGCTTCCAGATCTTAATAGTCTTATCTGCTTCTCCACAAAGCAACCGGAGCCCCGTCCGGTCAAAAGTAGCAGCCATAATACCAGCCTCCGCATCTAACGAACCAGGTTGAGCTGTCGTATCCAGTGACTGGAACCGATGGCCAGTTTTCCAGTCCCAAAAAGACATAGAGCCATTGTCCCCACCAGAAAACAACACGTTATCCTCGTTAACCGCAAGGTTGTTGATGATGGCATTATGGCCCTCGAAATTCTGCATAAATGCGCCTTCGGGGCATTTCCACTGTTTAATGCTTCCAGCACTGGCACTGGCGAATGTGAATTCCTTCGGATGGACAGCCAATGCGCGAACGCCCTTCTTATGGTGCGTTAGGACACCCATGGTTTTGCCAGCGGCAAGATCCCACATTCTCACGGTTGAGTCGAGGGAGGCGGTGATGACTTGTGGATCGGCTTCTTGACATTTTAGGTCTGAGACAGTTGTTCTATGCCCGGATAGCACGTGGACGTTGCTTCGTGTTCGCATGTCCCAGACTCTAGCGGCGGCGTCTCGTCCTCCTGTTACAAGGACGTCCAGGGTGGGATGCAAATCGAGGGTGTAGACTCCGCTTAAATGGCCGTGGTAATGTCGGATAACCTTGTTTGTTTCGAGATCCCAACACTTGACCATCTTATCCTCACCGCAAGAGAAAAGGTACGGATGTCGTGGGGATACGGCCAGACCTCTCACCGTAGAAATGTGGCCGGTAAGGGTCAAACGAAGGCTGCCAGTCGCCAAATCCCATATTTTAATTGTTCGATCCCCGGCACCACTTGCAAACCATTGATTATTAGGCTCCACGGCCAAACTGCGAACCCAACCCAAGTGTCCTGATATCACCCGCATAAGTTTCCAGGGCGCGTGCCACTCTGGCTTTGGCTGTTGAGATACCATTGGCCGCCGTACAAGGCTTGTAGGCATATTATCTCCATTAGATTGTTGTGTACCAGCCACCGGCGAAGATTTCACGAGAGCAGTTGAAGAGTCAGATCCCTGCCCCGTCCCAGTCCCAGCTGTGCCAGCACCAGTCCTCGATTTTAGACGTTTCGTTCTACCCGCCGCAGCCTTTGCCTGCTTTTCCGCAATGAAAGGGGGGAGCGTTTGAACATCATCGTACTCTATTTTTCGTCGATATGACAAAGCAATCGAGTCGCCTGCATTTTTGGCGAATCCTGATGGTAACAGATAATCAGAGCCGAAGAGATCACGGGTTCGTTTCGCGGAATTTCGCACAATTTGATCGGGCCCGGGAGGGGTTGGAGTAACCTCCATAGCTTTTGGTAGCACCTAGGAACGCGATTATATCCGATATTTGGAGGAATCTGGGTATGGTTTTCGAAACTGGACGTGGGTGATATCGACGAGGCGTTGCGCGTCCGCAAGATCAAGACCGGTTTTCAGTGTTCCCACAGAACAACCAGCACAAATAGCAATGCGCAGACGTGAAGATAACGGTAGAGTAGGATTTGCCAGGAGATATAATAAGATGGCGGGAAGTTGGAGGGTTAAGTTACTAAATTGATGCGGTCTGTTTCTGCTTCGATCCACATTCTGACTAACCAACGCCAAGCCTCCCGCAGCTCTCTTTTTGACTTCCCCCGCGGTTGATCAGACAAACATCGCTTTGATATGAATGTCCAGTACATATTTTGATGTAAATATCTTGATACACGTTCTGTCTATTTCTCCATATCGCCATGGATCCTGATTATAAGACTAAATACGCCATACATGAGGCTGCCCGGGAAGGACGAAGTATGTCAGTTCTATCTTCTCTTGAAGTGCTCCTTGGATACTGATTAGAGATAGTTTCCACGGCGGAATCGTTGCTTAATGTGAGCTCTAACTATCTGTCCCTCCACCAGGGTGAAATCCAACTGTCAATAAACCACCCTGGTGCACATTCTGAAGAGCGTTGTATAGCTAATGTTGTTCCCCGATCATGTATCCAGGCGAATCCAAAATTGGCATTCCTCAAAGACCCCGATGGCCGCCTTCCCATCCACTGGGCAGTAGCATACAACCATTTTCCGATTGTAGAACTCCTAGTCGGAATGCCAAAGTTCGATCCTGATGAAGTGGTCTGTCACCCTGCTCGGCGATGGAATTGCTCTTTTCGCCCTTCTTTCCCTAAGTGATGTAGAAAACGGAGGCTGACCGAAAAGTTTGTTACCAGGACGCATCAGGATGGACACCGCTGATGATCGCCGCAAGCTTGAAAGACGGCGAAGGAGATCAGATAATTGAACTCTTGCTACGGAAAGATGCAGATGTCAATATAAAAAGCGCTAGCGGTCAAGTCAGCTTTGGTTTTATTATTTTCATTTTCTTCTTCTTCAAGCGTTCTAGCAGCTAACTAAACGCCTTCCGCCCCCAATCGAATCCAGAACGCTCTCCACTTCGCAACCTCGAAAGTCAACGTGTCCACTGTCCGTCTACTCCTAACGCACAAATGCAGCGCAAGGGTGAAGGATAACCGTGGCCAACTAGCCCTGCATCGCGCTGCGGCCGTTGGATCCGTGCCCATTATCAATATGCTATTGCAGGAGGGCAAGAGTCCGCTAAACGCAACGGATGTGGACGGATCGACTGCGCTGCATCATGCTATTGCAGAAGGAAACGGAGAAGCTGCCCTTGTGCTACTGCGGGCTGGTGCGGAGGTAGATAAACGAGATAAGAATGATAAGTTGGCTATTGAACTAGCTCCTGACGTCAAGGTATGTTTTCTTTCCCCTTCTTCTCTGATCTATAATCCTTCAACTCAATGATATGCTGAACATGATACTCTTCCTTGTTTTTATTATTACCCTAGGTGCGGAAATATATATTCGAATCTGCAGAGCGGGAAGGTATTGAGTTATTCCCTTGATACTGCTCGCAAAGCCTCAACTTCTATAGAACGCTGCGTCCCTATCTATATTCTAAATTACGATGACCCTGATGCTATGATGTATGCATTTAATGTATGATTAATAATTTCATATTTAAACCACATGAAGAGTCTCTACATGGATGATCGACATATATCTACACAACCGCAAAATTCAACCAACAAATCAGGCCACCAGGCCTGTCAGTTAATACGCCCTTCTATATACATAGACATCAAGCCATAGGAAGTATACAAGGCGCCAAATTCCCACCGCACCACATCGCATCCTCCCTACAACAACTGCTCTATTATTCCCCTCTGTCCCTTCCCATCATTTCATCGTACTATCCACCAACTCCCGATAAATATTCTTCAAATCAGCAATATCCGCCCTCAGCTCCTCTACCAGCTCACTCTTCTCTCCCAGCATCTCCAATGTAGTCTGATATCGCTGATCGAGCTGCTCAACAGTCGTTTCTAGCTCCTGTATCCGCTGGTCCCCTTTTCTCTTCTCCTCTACCTCACGCATCAGTTCCACAACTTCCTGCCGTGCTTCATCGCGCTGCGCAGTTAGACGGGCGATCTCGTCCTTGAACGCAGCCCGTTCACTTTCTAAGCGGCGTATGGAGGTGCTCATGCGCTCGACGAGCTGCACGGAGGGCCCTGCCGCGATAGTGGAGACGGAGATGATATCGTTGACGCCGCGGGAGTGGGCGTGGGTCCCTTGGGCGGATGGAGTGGCTGGGCTACCCATGCCGTTGAAATATTCTTCAGGGTCGTAGGTTTGGGATTGCGTGAGATCGACTGGTGGAATTGAAAGTTCATGAGGGGACGAGGAGGGGAGACGGGGTGGTTGTTGTTGCGGGTTAGAGTTGAGGGAGGAGAGGGAACTTTGACGGTGTGGTGTGGACCGTTCGGGGAGGGCGGCTAGGAGTATTGAGGAGGATCTATGGCTCGGTGCCCGGTCAGACATGGGGCCAGTGGGATCGAGGCCGACCATTGGTTTACGGTTGAAGGCGACCGGTGATCCGGTTCGGGGTTCTTGGAGTAAAGAGGATGACGGTGGCCTGGCGAGTTCTTGCCATCTCGCCCTTTCCTCTTCAAGTCGTTGTGATAATGTTAATTCGGCGGCCTCCTTTTGTTTGGCGAGGTCCTGTTTGGCAATGAGGAAGTCATTCTCTGTTTTCGCGAGTTTGCGGGTTAGGTTTTGAATTTCCTGCTTTGATGCTTCAAGGTTCCTCTCTGTTTCCTGAATGACTTCTCGGGAATTTTCCAGTTCGCCTTCGGTTTTCTTGGCTTTGAAGCTCTGTTGAAATCATGATTAGTGGTTTCATTTCATTCATCGTGAAAAGTTGTACAGTCATACCGCTTCACGGACTTTCCTCCGCAAGTCCCCTTCTCTCCGTTCTAATTCATCCCGCTCTTTTTCGACGGTAGTCAGGCGTGCGAGCAACGATCCTTCAATTCCATGCCAGTTCTCGCTGGCAACAGCGTACTGGGTTTGCAATGTTTCAATCTGGCGGAGGAGTTTTGCATGCGATTCGCCGGTTGCGCTGGACGACACTTCCTCCGCACGGGACCGTAGGCTTTCCATCTTACTTTCGAGTACCGACTGCTCGCCGCGAAGTTCAATTTCGAGGGTTCGGGAGCGTTCTTTCTCCCTCTCAATGCCTTCTTTTAGGTCTCTAATCTCCCTTCGAAGCTTTCCCTCGCTAATCTCTCGTTCTATCTTAGCGCTGGAGAGGTCATCCATAAGTTCAGTCACCCGACGTTTTTCAGCCTCTGTAGACTCAATTTGGGCTTTCCGCTCGGCTGCTTCAGCCTTAGATATAGCTTTTGCTAGTTGAGTCTTAAGTTCCGCTACAGTCGCGTTGGATGCGTTACGTTCTGCAGTCACTGTTTCAAGTTGTTTTTCGACCTTGGATTTGGCATTAAGTCTTTCTACGGCCTTGCGCTCTGCGATTTCCGCTCGATTCGCTCGATCCTCTGAAATTTCTAGGTCCTTCTCGACTTTCTCAAGCCTCTTCTTAGTCTCAGATTGCGACTTCGCATTTTCTGCAATAATTTGTCGTAATTTCTTGATAGTTGCCCGGTGGTCTAGTTCGGTTTTTGAAAGTCTTTGGCCTTCCTCCATTAAGTTTGCAATCTGCTCCTCCTTTTCAAGAAGCTTTTTCTCGAGACTCCCAGCTTCCGCGGACGCTGCAGCTAGTTTAGCGGACTCCGCAGCTTCCTGTGCTAGATACTTTAATTTTGATTGTAAAGCATCTATCCTCTCGACATATGCATGTAGTTCTTCTTGCCATCGGAGTTCTGATGCTTCATGTTCTGTCCTCATTTGCGTCATTGCCTCTTCATGGCCATCTGCGGAGGCTACGGTTGGTTCTGTCACGCCTATTCTAGGGATGGATCCTTCAGGGGCCCCTGAGTCGATAGCCCCATCTTCTGGGAGCCTGGTTTCTCTTTGGTCATCTTGGATAATATGGCCATTAGGCTTCGCGTCCATATCCAAGGTAATATCTTTTGAAGTTCGCGGCGATAGGTGGATATCTTGACTTGATCGAGGCACAGATGACGATATTGACGCACTATCAGATTTCGTAGTACTAGTGTCTCCCCCCGCAGCAACACCATCAAGGCCAGAAAGCGGGCTTGTTGCGCGCGAGGGGGTTTCTGTCGGGGATACAGGGCTCCCAGTGGCGCCTTCTCGTTTAGCCATTGCCCGTGCCAGGCGCTCTTGAAGACGGTCGTTCGCTTTCGCTCTAGATGAGCTCCTAGAAGGTGCTGCGGGACAGGTTAGATAGACTCCATGAAGCGCAGAGACAGCACTGAGGACATGAGTCGCGTACCAGGCGAGACAGGTTTCGCAAATGACATTCCACCCTGCAGCGATGGCTGTCCAGGCTGTTTGCTGCCCTTATCAGCATCCTTAGCCATATCTTCCTCGTCCTGGTCAGCCAGGATCGTGTCCAGCCTAGATTCGACTCCTGCAATTGCCTGCTGGAGGAAACCACCCCATCTTGATTGCTTCGTGGGCTGAGTGTTTGTCGACATGACGGATTGCTCCGCGAACCGGCGTCACAGCTAACTCCGAGGCGCACGTTCGTACCGTACCACAGTCATTGACTGAGGGAGTGTTAAGGCCAGTCTGGCATGTGTTCAGCGGAGTTGCCCAACGATGCCGAAACAAGGCGGGCAGGCCACCTGGAGCTTGCAGATCAGCCACCAAACACCCGGGAACAGATATGTGAGCTCGTAATCTTGCAGGGTATCAAAGCATTCCGAAAGCTGGTATAGCAATAACATCCGGCTCTACCAGAGTGGCATTGTTATGTATACCTAAAAACAGAGAGTCGATGTCGTAAGCCCAGATGAGTTGGGCTCTGGCGGATCTTGGCGCGGTTAGGCCTAGCGCCGCGGCTAGCTCTTAACGTTAGCTGAGCTGGAAGTCATTCCTCTATCATTCATCGGTCATCAGGACGAACAACTCCGCTCTGGAAACCACTCCGCCTTGGGGGTTTCGTATCGCCGACTCCTCCCATGTTGTAGTATTCCAACCTACAAGACGTCGTCCAGTGTTTCCTAATTGCCAACGACGATGTCTTTGGATCCGCCTACCTATCTTAGTTCCCTCCAGAACAACATCCGCGCCCGGCCTATACCTTGGGAGGGCGCAGTTCGAGCGGGGAACATCACGGAGGACCAGCTCAAGCGCATCAAGGCGGTTGACAAGGTGCGTAAGGAACCGCGTCAGAAAATAGTGGGAAATGATTTGAAAGTCTATACAACACTGCTTGTCGGGGGAAGCAGTGGGAAGAGTATATTGGAGTCCGCATCACGACGGACGGATATAGTACAGTACGTCATGGTACTTGCGGCGGACCTAATCAATGGTACATATATCTCCATTTTGTAAATAATAAATCTATCTTCCGCTAACCGTAGAACATAGATGTACCCGCTCTAGCGTCCTCTCTGATTCAAGAGCCAGATCGTTATCGACACTACCTCCCTCTCCTCCAACACTCCTCGAACCCAGAGGACCCTATCCCTCTACTCGCCTCATCCTTCTTAACTAGCCTTGTTTCGACCTCGCTGGTATCGAATACTAAAACCACAATACCCGATTCCGAGGCGCTTCCTCGACTATATTCCTACCTCGCCACGTTGACGATGAGCCAAGATACGGGACTACAAGATATTGGTGTCCAGCAGTACTCCGCATTGTTGAGGACCAAACGATCAAGGGAAATATTTTGGAGCCAGCGGGCTGCAACAGTCGAGCCGTTAATGGATATTCTGCGCGCAGCTGCAGGTTCAAGGGATAACAATAGCTCAACCACAATAGTCGGATCATCAAGCATTCGCACGCTCGACTCAGGCATCGGTGGAGGAGTGGGGCTACAGCTTTTATATCATGTCCTTCTCGTGATTTGGCAGTTGAGCTTCGAAGGAAGCTTGGTCGGCCAAGAACTTGAATCGTACGAAACCTACCATTTATCCCAGAAGCAAGCAAACAACATTTTGTGTATATGGACCGTTTTCACTAAGACCTCTTTTCATTCAGGGAACAAGAAATCCTAGCTCTATACACTCACCTACTTCGCCTTTCACCCAAGGAAAAAACCACCCGCCTCCTCCTAGCAACACTATACAACATTCTCTCCACCAACCGCACCAACCTTCTCCCAGTGGCCGTCTTCCTCCGCCTCCCAGCCCTCCTCACGAATCTCAGGGGCCGCCACCTCTCCGATTCAGATCTTCTCGAAGACCTCAACGCCCTCACAGACATGCTGGAAGACTATACCAAAACGCAAACAACCTTCGACCAATACGCTGTGGAGGTGCAGACTGGCCATCTTCGCTGGTCGCCCCCGCACCGAAATGGAACATTCTGGCGAGAAAATGCGCGCCGCATCCTCGACGAAGACCGCGGCCAGATCCCGAAGAAGTTGGCGGAGATCCTGTCTAAAGATTGGGAGACGGATAAGCAGGTTCTTGCCATTGCATGTAATGATATAGGTTGTCTAGTCAAGGAGGTGCCGGAGAGGCGGCAGCAGTTGGAGAAGTTAGGAATTAAGGCGAGAGTGATGGAGTTGATGGCCGATCCGGATGAGACGGTTCGGTGGGAGAGTTTGAAGGCAGTGGGGGAGTGGTTGCGGTATACATTTGAAGGGTAGAATGGGAGGGTTCTGGTTTCTTTCTCTTTCCTTTTCAACTTTTCTTTTCTTTTCTTTTCTTTTTCTCTTTTGGTTTAATTTAGTCACCCCTTTTTCTTTTTGCTCCATTTCCCCCGTTTCTTCGTCTCGAATTTATTAGAAGCAAGTCCACCGTGGAGCGTGGAATCGTAATTTGAGCGTTGCTGGTGGCTTGGTTGGCTTTTCTCTCTTCCCCTCCTCCTTCTTCTTGACCTTGCGCATGTATGCTGCGAATTTATGACTCTTTGTTCGATTATATGTTGCAGCTGCGCTACTTTCTGTTAACACCATATATATGGGATTCAACTCACTCTTCAATTAGAGTTGTGTACGTCACCCAGATACACCCGCCATATCATGTTATGAGTATGAGCGTTTTTATTCAGGATCCTGGCTTTCATTTGAGTAGGATAGATAAAATATAGCTAAGACGTGCTCTGTTAAGTCTGCTGGACTTGACAACTCCAATAATCAGTCTACACTTGACTGTACAAAAATAATACACGCAATATATGCATTTGAAACGACCATGAGAAAAGGCGTGATAGTAGCCCGAAAATACACAACCGCTCGACCACATACACCAAAGATAGTTTTCTAGTTCATGTATAAAGACGTAACCTAAAAGGGGTTACGGCTAATTTATATCATTCCTTGAGCCATTGTAGTAAAAGCATGACCAGTGCTGTCCCGTTCAAACGTGAGAGCAGGGAGAATCCGGAAGCATATTGCTTCATCATCTCATCGTCCCTTTTCTAGACGTCATTCTCTTGAATTTTCCTCACCAGCATTCAGCAAAAAGTCGTATATGATATCAATTGGACCGGCTCGTCTGTTTACGGGTATGTCTTCCAAGGGATCCAGTTGCCCTTGCTATCATGAAACGTAAACGGCATGGACGTGTCCGCTCGTGCCTATTTCCGTCCCAGCCAAGTCGCCTGATTGGGCTTTTCCATGGCAGACTTTAATATCTTGGAATAGTCCTCTACCTCAGACCAGGCTCGAGAGATGTTTTCTCCAGCAAACTCTTGGACTTGTTCATCCGTGGCTTCACGCTTGAGGAGGACCTTGGCTAGCTGTGGATATGCGGATATGTCCTGTTAGAAAGTTAGATGAGCGGGCAAGAATGAATTCAAAAGTTACATTTTGGAGCGGATGGCTTTGTTTTCATACCTCAAAGCCAATGGGAACATCACCCGTGCCATCAAAAACGGAGCCCACTCCAACATTATCTCAGCCTGCGACCTCTGCCACGTGGAAAATATGGTCAGCAGCCATGTGAATATCCGCTGAAGATGGATTCTCGACATCCAGAAACATGGGAACGAATGTGACCATCACAACGCCGCCATTCTTAGCCACACCACACAAGACAATCCGGCACATTTCTATGGTGCTTTGAGAGGGCATAGGCAGACGAGTGGAAGAAGATGACAGGCGCTTTGGTCTCTGCCAGCACATCAGCCATCGTCTGATACGACACGTGCGACATATCAATTAGCATGCCGATGCGATTCATCTCGTGCGCAAACTCGCGATCAACCCTTTATCTATGCCACTAGCGGCAGCAGTTGACGCTGCCGTCCTAAATGTATTGTCACAGTTATGGGTTACTGTGATGTAGCGGACGCCAAGGTCATACACTTGCCGAAGAGCGGCGAGTGAATTTCCAATTTGATGTCATTCCTGGATGGGAATTAGCCGTCGGGCTGCACAGTTCTTTTTTGGTGTAGATGGAGCCATGGCGCTATATGGGATTGTTTATTTGGACTCGGAGAATGGAAACGAGGGCCGGGATATAACAGGTTATAACTCCATTTGAATAGAACAATGCATCACTATCTTTCCCCCGCGCTGCAATTGAATTATGGGGAAATATTTGTGCGTCTTGATGTTTTGCCGAATGACTTGGAGTAATCCATGTGGGTAGGACCATTGACGTGGACGCCGGTGGAGGCAGGCGTGATGGGAAATGACCTCGGGTATGTCCATCCTCATAAACTCTTGCCACAAATGACATACTAAATCCAATATCTTTCACTCAGATCTCGAGTGTTGGACCTCCGGTATATCTTTAGAGAGCGAACACTGGGATAATTTTCACATTCCAGAGGTTCTACTCTGTACTTATTAACGTCTGGAAAGCATCCACTGGGCCCAGTAACTTCAAGACGGCAGTCGTAGACACCCAGAAGCTACAGGCATTTCTTTGTCCTGATGAAGTGCCAGCAGTAATCTGGTTTGGATCTTTACAGAAATGTGGAAATTTGGCGGAAGGAACGTGCTGGACTGATTTATTTAAGGTTATCCGCTAAAAATGAGCTAAAATAAGCCTCCTTTCTGCCACGGTTGGGTTCGAGCAATAAACAACACACACGGAGTCTGCCAGCTCTGATATCCAACGGTTTCGCCGTATCGCGGTTTCAGATACAGCCATTTGTAAGGGCTGAAGCTGGATTTATTCTCGGCTTGTTTCGCCCTATCAGCAACAGTCACAACGTTGCATCGCGCTAACGCAAATCGTTTCTCAGGTCTAGCGCCGCGGTTCTGAGTTTATATGCGAAATCAGGGGGTTTTGTAAACCGTTCCATGTAAGGTTGTGTAAGTCATATCCTTCGCTCGCTGCAGCCCACGCGACCTTGAAAAGGACGGTCCGGGAGAGAGGAAGGAAGACCATGAATGGCCCTTTCTCTCCGTTGTCAGGGGTGGGAACTATAAGGTTTCCTCCCTCGGCTCGGTCTCACTCTCAATCCAAAACATAAAGATATCCCTCACCCAAGACAGGATATAGAAACATACATACACACTCATTTATATACATCCCATATACAACCTAATCCTGCCCCAAAACTCGCAACTTACGCCAATAATACATACAAAATGTCCACCAACACCGACCTCTCAAACCCCAGCCCCGCCCCCACCCCCGCTCCCAACCCCGCTCCGGCCATCAAGCCAACCCCTCCGCCCCGCCCTCTACCCCCCGACTACCAACTCCGCGACGGCTACCCCAGCGTCCCGGACTACGTCAAACTCCGCAGCACCCCGAATCTAACGCCCAAAACAGCCGAGCAAGGCGCCCTCGCCCTCGCCGGCAGCTGGTTCGGCTGCCACATCGTCCACACGCCCACAAACACCTCAGTCGGCATGGGCCGCATCATCGCCGACGGCGGCTGGTATTTCCACATCGTAGACATGGCCGTGGCCACGGAGCACCAGCGCAAGGGGCTGGGGGATATCATTTTTGCGAGACTGATGGAGCGCATTAGAGAGGTGGCTACGCCGGGGGTGTGGGTGTCGCTCCTGGCGGATCCGCCAGGGAAGAAGTTGTATGCTAAGCATGGCTTGGTGGAAACGGCGCCGGACTCGGTGGGGATGGCGATTATGCTGTAAATTCTTACCCCAGGGTGTTCGTTCGGCTGAGGGTGGCTTGGGTGTTTAGTGTTTAGATGGGTTTGCTGGGTTCTTTATATATGGATTGCAATCGATAGAAATGCGCCCGTTTTCGAGATAGAGGTGGTCTGTTCTTGTCTATTCGAATGATGATGATGATGTTTGTAGCGGTATTAATTGTTTAAGGATGTAATTAGACAAGAATCGGGAGAGAAAGAAAGAAAGAAAAGCTCAAACGGAAGAGCATAAAAAAAAGAAAAAAAGAAAAAAAAAGAAACTCTCAGGAAAGCATCGATATAACCCCCAAAATACGAAGTCAAACAGTGCGGATGGTAAAAAGACCATCTAGCTAGCATCACCATCTAGAAAGGATAAAATGCATGAAAAAGGTTGTATACAGGAGTCCCCCTTAAGCCAGAGCTGAAGAGTTTGAGTCCGAGGAAAGCTATGCAAAACAGCGAGAGAAGCCCCACTTTTCTTTTAAAAATCATCATCAACATCGTCATCATCAGCTACGTCTTCACCTCGATACTTCTGCCCTCCTCGTTCGCCCGACTTGCGGTTCAGGTTGGACATTTCGTGCTCTTCCGTTGCATTCCTGGCTCCGGACATCGCCATCGCCTGACGCCCGGTGTCTGAAGCTTCGAGGAAGTCGCGTAGTCGTCGTTTGCCCTCCTCCAGCGCCTGATGTGAGGCTGCCTCGGTCATTTTGATGATCGGACCCCAGAGATTCAGCTGATAGGTGACGTACGCGCCAATGGCGCACACGAAAAGGAGGAAGAAGTATGCAGGGTTGCGGAGGACTGGATAAGGGACGGATGCATTAGTTTTTTTTGTTCTGTTTTCAAGGTGGTCCGTAATGCTAGAAAGAGATGTCCTGGATTGCTTACCTGCCATGATTTCATTCCAGCCAAGCGCTAGGAGCAAGCCATAAAAGTATAGCGGCACCTGAGTGATGCCTCCGATAGCGCTTCTCTTTGCCTCGACGTACACGCCATCAGCGGTTTTCTTGAACCGAACTATTAAGTCTTGCTTCTTTGCTTCGCCGATCATAGTCATCTCTTCCTCCAGGCTCTTCCCCTCATCTTCATCAACACCTCCAATCGGGGTTAGGTCCTCTTCATCCGCAGGCGTTGCTGAGCTCGGCGTGTGTCCGATCCATTTGTCCAGTGGGGGAGGCGCGTTGGTCTCTGCAAGCCGGAAGCGGGCAAGGAGGGGGATAAGCGTTAGTGTGGATTCCCTAGCTTGTGTATACACACTTTCAATGTCATCGGTCGGGCGCCAAATTCGAGGAACGCCAGCATCGTCGTACCGGAATTTATCTTCGAAGTTCTCGCGGAGTTTTAAGAGGAGATTGCCCTCCATCACTTCCTCTTCGATTTTAGCTCGTAGGACTCCCCAGGATTTTCTTCTTAGTCTCCATAGGCCAACATCTACTTCGTCAAGGCTGGCGTCAAAGCTGCTCGCTCGTTCCGTAAATCTCCTTTCAGCATCAAGGACGGTGTCCACAAAAATAGTCCAGACTCTGTCCCAGATGGTATTCTCTGAGGGCTTGTCGCCGAACTCCGGAGCACCAGAACCACCCCTACCTGACCCAAGGGCATTAAACTCTAAATCGACCGATTCACCTAGGCGCGACCTCACCCACCGCTCAACTCTCGTTGCCAATCGCCGCATTTCATCTCTCCGAAGCTGCCCGCTGATTCTTTCCAAGTCCTTTTGGTATAACGATAACTCCTGTTGGTAATTGCTCCAGGGGGCATCTTCCACAAGCGTAGATCGAGCCTCCTTTTCGAATTTTTCGATCGCTAGCTGCCTTTCCCTACTTACTATCTCAGCAAAATCGTAACTCGCACCTCTCTTCTGGCCCGCCTTCACAGCGGCACTGACAGATTCGCTGAAATCTTGTACCCCGGACCTATGCGCGGCATTAAGTTGGCCAAGGAAAAGTGCCTTGAGCCGTGTGTCGATCTTTTCTTCCAACTCAGACTTTTTCATTTGATACACACGTTTGTGGTACCGGCTAGCCTCAGCGTCAAAATTCTTCACGGCGTTCATTCGCGCATTCCGCATAACCGGGCCCAGTCCACCCAAGACTTGAGGGCTACCAGCCTGCACGGCTTCTGCTTGCTTCGATTCGAAAGGACTGATGGCTTCGTCGAATGCAACTAGGGCTTCGCGTGATATTTCATCGCAGCGGAATTGAGCAAGCAGCTCTTGTTGAGTTGGCAGATCTAGGTCCTTGTTGTTTACAATTTGATCCCAAACACCTTCCGCATAAACGGCAAAACCATCTGCAGGTATCCTTCGGTGGTATTCGGGAAGGAATATGCCGCCTTCAATCGAGCCAGTTCCCCTGGAGTCGACGTTGTTAGGGTCGCGGTGAGCATTGCGGAAGCGAGTACTGAGCTTTTGCACCTCGTCCACAAACTTCTCAGGCTGGAAGTTCTTGTGGGGTAGTCCAGCAAATGCGAAATCGAAGTAATCATTAATTGTCGAGTTCTCCAATCCTGCAGGTTTCGAGAGTGAGCTCCATATCCGGTTTAGGTCCTGCAAGAGCGTATTTTGTAGGTTCTGAAGCGGAGTAGTTCCTACAAAGTCGCGGATGACGAAAAAGAGAAGAGAGCGCGGGGTTGACCTGTCTCAATCATGGGAGTTAGTCTCAACAACCAAGGAATTTCTATGAAAAATGAAGAAAAGGTTCATTCAACATACTTGTTGTCCTTCAAGAACAATTCCAAATTAACCTCAAAAACGGTTTTCAGTAGCCCCATATTAGCACCCTGATACAGGCCAACCTGGTGTTCCCAGATATTAACAATGAGAACCTCACTGGTGGCTAGGGCAAACAGTGCGCTCTTCCTCTCAAAGTCTTGATCTTCACCTCTCTCTCGACCATCTGTGCCCTCAACGTCCATAACAAGGATATTGTCCGCCATCTTCATTTGGGGGTCGCGATCCTTGCTCGACTCAACTCGTTTGTTCTTGGATAGCCAGATCCCCTTGGTCGTCTGCCGTCGCTCGGTCTCTGACATGACGCTGAAATGGGTACCAAAAAGATGGTTCAGCAACGTGGATTTGCCGGTCGATTGCGATCCGAAGACGGAGATGAGGTGGTAGTTGAAGCCGGCCGGGGTGACATTTTCGTAAGTGAGGTACCTGGATACATTGGGGCTGTCAATCGCGCGAGCGAAGTAGTAATTAGTATAAGAGTAAAAACTTCGAATATCGGAGAGGGCAAAGATGAGTAGTAGTAGTAAAGCAAACGCATACTTGAATTCCTTGTCCTCATCTATAACCTGCACTCCATGCTCGTAGCTCCCCGAATCCTGTCCCTCCCCGTTGCTCGCAAAGTGTCCGTTCGCAACCATTATTTGATGCGAAGTGGCCCCACTTTTGATTATTTATCTCTTTTCAAGCCTTTATCCACCGGACCTAGACAAGCAAGCAGTAAGAATTGGTTCCTCTTGTTTCTTCCCAATCCTAAGAAGAATGACGTTTCGCAGAGGTATGCGACGTGGCGAATTAGACGTCCGTGCAAGGCATATGATCGACGGGAGTCTCGAAACAGGTCAGTTCCCTAGCACCTATGGACAAGGTCTCATAGAATTGTATATCAATGGAGGGTTTGTGTGTCCCTGTTTTGAAGGTATATATATCCCCGGTTGTTGTTGTTGTTGCCGTCCCCGTGGCGCTATTGTTGCCCACCCACCTGTTGATCTCCTATTTTCCGGCAGACGGGAGAGGTTGCGGACAAGGCGCCACCAGTTACGTAGCACAAGAGGGTTTAGAAAAAGAGAATGGCAAGAAAGAACGAAAGTAAATAGAGTAACCAGTAGCAATAAGAATATTGTGGGGTCCAGTTGATCTGGAAGAGCGCCCGCTTGAAGCCGTCGTGGGAAGTTGGCTCTTCCGTTCCTCGGATCGCTCAATAAATAACGTAGTTAAATATTAACCTAGGCTAGGGCTGGCTTGGCTAGGTACATACATACAACTGTCCAACTATTCAAAGCCGTGCTTTGGAAGGACTCGACGATGATAACGGGATAATGAGGTATTTATATATCTGCTATGTGTATCTACCTATCTCTAAGTTGATTAAAAACTAATAATAAATCTTGAGCGTTGTTGAACGCTGCCAGAGCTCGGGATCGATCCCATGACCTGCACAATTCACATGACCCGATAGATTGATTGAACCAGGGGGAGCTACATACGTGACTGAGTGTTGTCGACTTTCTTAGAGTAAGAAAAGGTAGGCATCTACTTGTATGGAATACCTACCGTCAGGTCATTTAATATTGGATATTGTACGGAGTACGTACAACGATAAATGGAAGTGGTAGAAGTAGGTACCTAAGTACCTCCTACCTCCTCTTGTTTTCTGAAGGCACACCTATTGCTATGAAGTGAATGAGCAATGACAAGTATTAATTCGATCCCCATTCCTGTCCATTATGGATATTTACAGCCAAATTGAAAAACTTTTCAGAGCGCCACCTCCCCTCCCACGCTAATTACAGGGGGATATTCACAAGGATTAACTGATATATACAAACACGATCAAGAAGCAGGAAAGCATAGCAGAAAAGTGAAAAACTGCTAAAAATTCAAAAACCCCCTTAGTCCTTAAGAGCGCCTAAGAACTCATCAACAGTCTTTGTAAAAAATTGCTCTTCAAAAGTTGCGCCAAAACTGCAAGAGACTATGTCAGCAGCGGAAACTTTTCACGATCATCAAACATCACATGTGATGCCTCTCTGATCTATGAGATAAGGGGGGGAAGAAACATACCCAAAACACTGTACCCCAGCCACCAAAGCATTGCTCAATTTCCGTAGTCCTTCCGGGTCGAGCTTATGGAATAATGGATGCTGTTTAATCCGCGCCCACATCTGAACCGGCGTGAGCTCGCCATCCAGCTCGAGGGCTGAAGACAGCTCGAGCAGTCTGTCGAGTTCACATGAGGGAATCTGCCAGGTGGTGCAGTCGTCTAAGCTCTGTGGAGCTTGGTTGAGAACGGGTGCTAGGGCGGTCATGGCGTGTCCGTGCGGTTCTTCCCGGTCTTGAGGTTGGTGGACATGGTAGATGCAGCAGCGTTCCATGCTATTAGGATTTTGGGTAAATTTATGGTTAACTATCGAAAAGGACAAAGAGTAACCTGAGTAGAAGGGGGCGGGGGGTGGGGGGCAACACATACAATAGCACGAAATCCACGCCTACTTGGGTTGAATCAAGACCATATGGATGCCTAGGTGTTTGGAGTGGCTGCGAAGGTAGTCGAGTAGAAGCGAGACGATCTGACCCGTTGAACCCTGCGGGTGGTGATAGAGATGGCTGGGGCTGGGCGCCGTCTTTGGGAACCATGCCACGCTTCGAATGATCTACTACCGAAAGTTGCGACTTTCCCTCCGGCGGACTCTCCGGGATGCCGAAGCCGGGCGGAAAGACTCGTTCAACAGGCGCACCACCGAGAGATACCTCCAGCCGCTGCCCGAACCCCGGGCTGCCAATGACGGAGACGGTGGCCATCGGGTTATTGTATAGCCACTGGTCTTGTGGTCTGCTGTGAGAGATACCGGTACCAGGAAGGGCTATCCCATGCGCGAGCATGATGTCTCTAAGGATGCTGTTTTCCTCAGCTACCTGATACGTCTCGGTCTGGATAGATGATGATTCATCCCGAAGCCGGCTAAGCTCCTGCTCAAGGGACTTTATATATTTTTCTTTTCGTTCGCGATGATTGCTGGATGTCGTACGTACTGTCAGCCTTCCCGGCGTATTGACCTCCAACGCCGAAAGCGAGGTATAGAAGCGTATATAAATGTAACATAGAAGACAGGGATATGTGGTCGGGTTGAGAACTTACCGTTGCGCCCGTCTCACCTGTTCTCTCCTTCGAGCGTGAGCGGACTTTAACGTGTCGTAATCCACACCGGCGCCCTCTGCTTCTGCTTTTGTAACAATTCAGTAAATAGACGGAATTGTAATTTTCGGGCATTCAACAAAAAAACAAAAGAAGAAGAAGAAGAGGGAAAACAAAGAAAAAGAAAAGAAAAAAAAAGAGTATGCGAGGTTGCAGAACTCAAAATATGCAGCTCCGATCACCACTTTAGGGAACTAGAATAGACGAAACAAAAAACGTCCACATATGGGCAAATATATGTGATCAGCGCAACGGCATGAACGCTCTCTCTAGTGGCGGGGGATGCATATGGAATCAAACTCCCATGTTGACACACATGTTAATAGGGCCGAGAATGATTCTCACTTACACCGAAACCAAAAGAAAAACAAAAAAATAAACATGGGATGCAACCAATCTGAGCATAAATAAGCAAAACAGCAATATAAGACAAAAGGGAAGAAAAATGTCATATCAATCAATCGCCCCACGCGCACCCGTCAACCCAAACAGAGCTGAGCTTCCTTTTCTCTCTGGCTCACCTTGATTATTCTCCTCATCAACAGCTTGCTTCCTCGATATGTGGAGCTTCTCCTTAGTTTTTGTCCACAGCGAGTCGAGCGTGTCATGATAGTAAGGGTTGGGCGAGGGCGAGGAAGAAGCAGCAGCCGCCGTCTTCTGCAGGGTAGCTGACATCAGTGACAAATCTTTTGATTATTATTATTATTATTATTATTTATTATCTGCCTGTAGTCTGTATTCCACAGATGGAGAAGATCAATCATCAATCATGGCTTTTCGGGATGGGATGGGGACAAGACAAGCAAGCCGCTGGAAGCTGGAGTGTTATTTGACGTCCTTGTCCTGGGAAGACGCAACGATTAGGAAGCCTTTTGCCACAGTCTGCCCAATGAGGGTTTGCGCAAACCAGGTCCGTCGAAGCTTGGCCTGCGGCTTTGGCTGGTTAATTCCAAATCGCCCGGAGGTCTAAATCTGTTAGCCTGCGCGACGGCGGTTGTGAAATACCATGGTTCTGATACGTGTGCTCGGACATTTGGGGAGAAAATAGTAGTTTATTATTACGCAGTATTACTATTCAAACTCAATTGGCTGGCTACCTTGCTACTTGTGTAAGTGACGGAGTACACAGGTATTTCATCAGGAGGAACAAGCCCGGTTTGCAATCAGAGCTTGGCTCTAGGAATGCTATCTAGAGTTCTGAATCGACCGCGGGCCCCGTGGGAAACTTTTACAGGAGGGATACATATACTTCGGCAGAGGAGTGGTTAATAAATATATGAATACTTGTTCCTGCGGCCGACCACTAAATTGGGCTGAATGTTGTGTGAAATCCTGGTTCGATGGAAATGAAACTCTTGAAGCAAGGAATAAGAGCAAGGAGAGTTATATTACTCTTAAGACAGGTCTAGATTGAGGGAGTCGAGAGAGGCTGCATCTTTGTTGTTACATTAGGGAAATTTTTAAAAATGGGAAAATCACTTGGGAGAAATGAAAATAAAAACCATAAAAAATGAAAAATAAACAACAAAATACAAAAGAGCACCTATAAAAACACGGAATGAATAGAGAAGCAAAGAGAGAAGAAGGAGAATATAAAATGCCATGAAAAATATACACAGGTAGACTCCAGATATATGTTAAGCTTTTTGCCGGCCCGCCTTTCCATTTTGTCCCCGCAAAGAATTTCCGCTTTACACACGCATTTATTGTTAAAAAGTACATGATACTAACCAAATGGCTATTGTCCGGCAGGTTTATTAGTTGCTCTATTCCTCAAGGACACGGGTGACAAGACCAGTAGCGACAGTGCGGCCTCCCTCGCGGATATTGAATCGCTGCCCGGCCTCAGCAGCTACGGGGCGGTGTGTCTTGAGGATCATCTCCACGTTGTCACCGGGCATAACCAGCTTGCTTTCGTCCACACCCTCAGGGAAGCTGAGGTTGGCAGCCTCGTCTGGAATCAAAGAAATTAGTCACGTGGATCATGCCCGCGTGCAAGAAAATTTAAAAGAAAAAAAAAAAAAAAAAGAAAAGAAAAGAAAAGAATATTTCAATACGAAGAGGGGATATGTTTTCATCTTAACGTACCGGCTGTGCGGATGAACATTTGAGGACGATAGTTTTGGCCAAATCCAGTTCGGCGACCACCCTCAGCCTCGGTCAGGACATACATCGACACCAAGAACTTGTCGTTGGCCTTGACAGTGCCAGGAAGGGCAACGACCATACCACGGCGGATATCCTCGCGCCTAATACCACGCAACAAAAGGCCAGAGTTGTCTCCAGCTCTGGACTCGTCGCAGGACTTCTTGAAGGTTTCGATATCAGTTACCTTGGTCCGGATGGGGGCGACACCGCCGCCAACAACCTCAACTTCCGAATCCTTCTTGAGGACACCACGTTCAACACGGCCGGAGGCAACGGTTCCACGTCCGGAGATGGAGAACACTTCCTCAACGGACATCAGGAAGGGTTTCTCGGTGTCACGCTGAGGAGTGGGGATCCAGGTATCAACAGCGTCCATCAGCTCATCAATTCGCTTCTCTCCCAATTCGGGCTCACGGCCTTCCATGGCGCAAAGGGCAGAACCAAAGATGATGGGCGTCTCCTCGCCCTCGAATCCATAGGTGTTCAAGAGCTCTCTCATCTCCAACTCGACAAGCTCCAACATCTCCTTGTCCTCGAGAGCATCGACTTTGTTCACGAAAACGACGATCTTTTGGACGCCAACTTGTCGGGCAAGGAGTAAATGCTCACGTGTTTGAGGCCTGATGGATACGTTCTCATATTAGTATAATCATGCTCTTGAAAATGGGGGGATAATTTTTTTCTCCATCGGTCCTGTGGCGTCCTACATTTGACCGTCAGAAGCAGCAACAACGACAATAGCACCATCCATGTTTGCAGCACCCGTAATCATGTTCTTGATATAATCAGCGTGACCAGGGCAATCGACGTGTGCGTAATGTCTTTTTTCGGTCGAATACTCGATATGGGAGGTGGAAATGGTGATACCACGCTTCCGCTCCTCGGGAGCTCTGTCAATAGCTCCATAGTCCAGGAAGCTGGCCAGTCCCTTCTCGGACTGGCGTTTGGTAATAGCAGCAGTCAAGGTAGTCTTTTAATCAAAAAATAGCAAGTCCGGGTTAGAATCGCGATATAATTGACAGACGAAAAGAAATTTAGGACAAGAATGTAAGGGCTAGCTAACCTTCCCGTGATCGACGTGGCCAATGGTACCTAAGATGCAACATTAGAATATAAATGAAAGATCCATGATAAGAGCCAGAAGAAACGTGGTCCTACTTACCAACATTGACGTGAGGCTTCGATCTCTCGAAGACTGTTGCCATTCCTCTAAAAGCCATGCGGCGGTCCCGAAGAAGAGCATGTTGAATGGGGTTGGCTCCTCTGGGTCTTTGCAGAGCAAGTCTGCCAGTCCGCAGCAGGGCGTTAACAGATCTGGAAATATTAGCCATCTTGACAGTCCTTGGCAGTCCTTTGGTGCAGAGGAGTTGGTGGAATTGACAAGAGGTGATGAATGCAGATTAACTCGTCCTTGTCGAGATATTTTTCTCGTCTCAAAATTCGACGCCAAAAGATTTTCAGGGACAATGCTTAGTCATCAATTGGCGCCTCAGCTCGGAGTTTCCATGAATTAGTTGCAAGACACTGCATGAACTATGCATGCCCTGCCCACGTCTAATACAAGGCCAGAAAGAGGAGAGGAACTATAATGATGGATATCTCGAGTACATAGGGTTACAATTTGAAAATTAGGCTTGTTTGTTCAAAATAGCTGAAGAATTAAAAATATGTCTAATTTGGGATATATCATTCATGGTACAGATCAATCAATCAGGTCCAGCCATTCTTGGGCATATAAGTCCTTCATGTCTGTGATATAATATAATACAAGAACTCTCTTCACCAGGATGTCATGGCTTCTTCGGCTTTTCAGCATATATAGTGAGTCGGCCCAGTAATGTCCCTTCCATCTTCTTAGTCTCCACGGCGCCCATCTCTGCAATCTGCTCTTTTACCGTTTTAACCAGTTCTCGGGCTTTGTCCGGTGTAGGCAGTGTCTTCTTCCTCTTATCCTTCTGCAGCAATATGAATTCCACCTTCTTCCCTTTCTCGAAATATGACTCCACCATTTTCATTCGATGTGAGAGGTCATGGCCATCGATACCCCAGTTGAGCTCGACCTGTTTTAACGCGCGGCTAGGGTCTTTAGGTGCTTTTGATTTTGCTTGCAGTTTTTGCTGCAATACCCCCTTGCTCGTGATTTTGCATATAGCGGGGCGTTCGGCGGTTTCGGGAGCAACCTGGAGAAGAATGTTTACATAGCGGTCAAACGTATGTAAGGCAGCCCCCAAGGGAATTGGATCCCCAAGTGACCCGTCTTCGTTCACTATCTGGACCCTCCGCGCGGGAATGGCCTCGTCCTTTATAAGGCCGTTGTGGTCCCTACTGTCATTTGCATCTTTCTGTGGTCCGTATTTCTGCTGGAGATTTGCTGGCCGAGGTTGGGGTCGTCTCATTATCTGGGGTTCTGCGCGCGGAGCCATAGGTTGTTGCTGCCGAACGGGTTGGAAACGATAACATCTTATATGTCTTCGCGTGATCTGACGCTCAGCGAACCGGGCTGCTTGTGAATCTGCTAGCTGTAGGAATATTTGGCGGAGGTTTTGGGCGGTTCCGACGAGACCGCGGACATGATTCACTGGTGCTGCCATATCTTAGAGGCAGCTACATGTACCTATTACAATCCGTGCCCTCCCTCCTGGATTTATTTGCGAGGGCGAAAGCGCAATTGCAACCAGAACCTGCCGCAGACCTAATATTTATCAGTACCAACGACTTAAGGAAGCGAAACAGAAGAAACACCTATTTACCTTGCAGGACCGCTATTTCAAATCAAAAACAGCTCGAATGTTGCCATAAGACCGTACGAATGGTAAATGGTAAAGATGGTTTGTTATTAAATATAATACTTAGAAGAGGTTCTCAGTTTCCATTCCCAGGTTCCTGACAAGGGAAATTTTTGGTCAGCCACACCTGGATGGCTAGACTGCGCCACATGCTATAAAAAAATTACGCGGGAAGTTAACTTGGCATCTGTCCTCGACTCTTTTCTGCTCCCTTTCAACCCCCTATATCGCCTAGGTCCTAGGTGTTTCAAGTCAACTACTGTCTGGTGCTCATTCGTCTAGCCCAACAGTCCACCAGGTGGAGTACTTGCGATTAGCTAGAATCTATGATCCCCTTTGGTGCTCCCACTCTTTAATTATCCTTGTCTTGCCTCTGCATGTCTCAAACTGCTTTCCCCCTTGTTACGGACTATTTTTCGTGTGTTAGTTAATATTTGCATTCGCTCGCATGTCAACTGGGGTACACGCTCGTTCTCGTGTTGGAATTTGGTCATATTTGCCTTTTGGCTCGAATCCTCGGCGTCGATCCGTCTCCCTCCCAGCAAAATCTATCCGCGATCCATTTGAAAAGCCGGGCAGGCATTCTGGAGATCCTCAGCGCAGCTTCAAGAAATTTAGTTTCCGGGATACATTCACAGTTGCTACGATGACGCAAAGCCAGCGAACAAGGTATATTAAGACAGGGGGGATAATTGCTATCTTATTATTGTTTCTCTACGTACTCCTCCCAGGCGGTCAATCGTCCCCGGCCTCGATCAAGGCCCCCGTATCTGCCTCAAAATGCACGAAGCCACATGACTCCTCGAAGCCCTTGATTCAATATGCGTTGATGATTGATGCTGGAAGCACTGGCTCTCGAATCCACGTGTACCGTTTCAACAATTGCGGGCCCACGCCTGAACTCGAACATGAGGATTTCAAGATGACAGAGAAGAGGAAGGGCGGTGCTGGACTAAGCTCCTACGCTGAGGATCCTGAGGCAGCCGCAAGAAGCTTGGATCCTCTGATGGAACTTGCCCTGAATTCAGTGCCGGAGGAATACCAATCGTGCTCTCCAGTGGCAGTAAAGGCCACAGCGGGCTTGAGATTCCTGGGTCAGGAAACCAGCGATAGAATTTTAGATGCGGTGAGAACTCGCTTGGAAACTGTTTATCCATTCCCTGTCGTCTCAAAGGAAAAGGGCGGTGTTGAAATCATGGATGGTAAATATGAAGGAGTATACGCCTGGATCACCACCAACTACCTGCTTGGAAATATCGGTACCAAGGAGCGCCTCCCTACTGCCGCAGTTTTCGATCTTGGAGGAGGTTCAACCCAAATTGTTTTCGAGCCAACGTTCAACAGTGTAGGTGGAGCAACGGAGAAATTGGCTGAAGGTGACCATAAATTCTCCTTGGATTTTGGAGGCCGAAACTTCGACCTATACCAGCACTCCCACCTTGGCTACGGGCTCATGAAAGCAAGAGACACCATCCACAAAGCGATTGTGGAGACCAAACACCAATCTAGCCCATCTGACCAACAATGGCTCTCCAAGCCATTAGTCAACCCATGCCTGAGCGCTGGAACGTCGCTCACCGTGAACGTAACAATGGGGGATGGACATCCACTCGGTGAGGTTGTTGAAGTCAAGATGACCGGCCCGCAAGACATATCCTCTGCCGCCCAATGCCGAGGAATCGCGGACAAGATTCTCAAGAAGGATGCAGAGTGCAAGTTGGCCCCCTGTTCCTTTAACGGCGCCCATCAACCCCAGCTCCAAAAGACTTTTGCAAACGAGGACCTGTTCATCATGTCATATTTCTATGACCGCACAGCTCCGCTCGGTATGCCGGAGTCGTTTACTCTCCGCGACTTGCAGGATTTGACAGCTGCAGTCTGCGCAGGCCATGGTAGCTGGGGCGTCTTCGAAGGGATTCGCGATGCCATCAATGAGCTTGAAGAACGTCCAGAGCACTGCTTGGATCTTTCCTTCATGCTATCTCTCTTACACACTGGATACGATCTCCCGCTTAATCGCCAAGTTAAAATTGCGAAACAAATCAACGGCAACGAACTTGGCTGGTGCTTGGGTGCCAGGTACGCAATATCTTATCTTTTTACTTCCATTTTTCTTGTCTCCCATAAACCCCAATTTATATTTACTACGAAAGAAAGTACAGGCTAACACAATCAAACAGTTTACCTCTTCTGAACAAGGAATCAGGCTGGCAATGTCGCATCAAACAGGTCGCATAAATTTCACCGTTAATAGATATAGATTTTGTTATGTGGTTTAATTAATGACTTTTGCTCTTTTCTTGTCCCCCAACTCAACCCCGCCCCGCCCCATAATAGAGTAGTCATATATATATGATGCTATAGTTGCTCACACTACTCGCTCAATCTTCGTGACATAATGAAGAAGAACATCCTTGTTTCCCTTCCTATTGCCGTGTCATGTTTCTCTCTTTGCTTGCTGGGAAATGAATTTATGCCTGTTAATCTTGTCTACTTACACACCCTGTTGCGATACTCGGGTTGTTTGCTGGGCTTCAACCATTCTTTTTTCCTTTAATCCCACTTCCCGTTAGCCTTCGCTTTCTTTTTCTTTTTCTTTTTCTTTTTTTTCCCTTACTTTTTTGTTTCGCCTCCCGTATCTTTACACTTTGCATGTATATTTACACAGAGTTTTGATCACTTCGGATATCTGTTGGCTGTATCTATATGGACATATATGTATACACCTATACATATCCCTCTTTTGCCTTTTACAAGGTAACTAGAGGAATTCTCCCTGCCGGACTAATAATTTATGTAATATTTTAATGTTCGAAAATCCTCCTTGTTGCATTTGTTATTTGTTCCCCTGTGCCGGTATCTATGCCCCCCTTATCCCGCCTTCCCTGGTCGTTTTTATTGAAATAACATTTTATTGCCCCTCTTTCATTGGCCCTTCCAGGATCATGTCTGCCACTTCTTCCAGGAGGACCCTTTGTGGCTTGTCGATCCTCTCATCGTGCTGTATGACGAAACACGCCATCTCCCCTCCCAAATGTCCCCGTGGAAAATAAACAACCTGAAAACGGGCATTTCCATGATTATCCAACGCCTGATAGCGCTCAAAGGGGAGATATGGAGTTGTTCAACACCGAAATCCCGCTAACCGGAAATAAGATATTCAACCTACTGAAAAATTACCTAGAAGTGGAAGTGGCAGGGGAAATCTACAGAAAATGGGCTTGTGGACATCCGTGTAGAGCAAACCGGGTATTTAGTATGTGGGCGTGCAAAATTACCGAGCTTAGCCGCACCATAGATGTGTCTTCTTCAGATACTCCGTACGTTTTTGAGAAACACGGGTGAGCTGAAAGAGCTGAAAGAGCTGAAAGATCAGACGCAAAAATACTACACGGAGGAAGGCAGTCTGGACAGCTTGATTTTGCAAGCTCCCAACATCAAGAGATTTGAAAAGCTTCCTGGTCCCTTCGGTTTACTATGCTCTAGGTCGAACCTCCCAATCAAGAAAAATGATGAAGATCTTTGGTGCGGATGGTTTAAAGGTGTCTACAGCCAGAAGAATCATTGTTATTACCTGAGATTAGAAAGCGGCCTAGCAGCATCAAGCAATGTTGCGAAGTTGGCGTTTGGGGCTATATATATAAGGGCCTACCTTATGGAAAGGTTTCTAACTTCACTCAATCTTGTCCATTAAGTCAAAAATTTTCTACAAAACAATATTCCTCAGAAATTTTCAAAATGTGCGGCATAACGGGGAGCATTGCCCTGCGTCTAGACCATGTACGCGGGGGTACTCATGGCAGCCCTGAAGCAGCCCCTGATGAGTCCCTAACCTACAAACTTCAAGCCTCTCTTGAGAAAATAAAGCACCGCGGACCAGATGGATCTGGCATCTGGGTCAGTCCGGATGGCAGTATTGGCCTTGGTCATTGCCGTCTTGCCATCAACGACCTCTCCCCCAGCGGTTCGCAACCTCTTTCAAGCGATGATGGGCAAATTCACACCGTCGTCAATGGCGAGATCTATGATTACGACCGGCTGCGGGGCGTCTCTGCTGTCGTTCACGGCTACAAATTCCATGGCGAAAGCGATAGTGAGCTCGTGTTAGCTGTCTACAAAATACACGGATGCCCGGAGTTCTTTAAACACCTGCGAGGCGAATTTGCATTTATTCTTTATGATAGCCGCGATGGATGCAAAATGGTGATTGCTGGGAGAGAGATAGGTTTGGTATTAAGCCTCTGTTTTGGACAACTGTTGGGGATAGGGTATTACTAGCAGCGGAGGCAAAAGCATTTCTGCCTTTGGGTTGGAAGCCAGAGTGGGATGTTGGGGCAATACTGGAACGCGGTTGGACGGTTGACGACAGAATACAGTTCAAGGGCGTGAAAAAGGTATTGCCAGGCCAATGGCTTGAAATCTCCAAGAAGGGGCTTGAATTACAAAGATACTGGGATTCGGATTATGAAGATAAGGTAAGGTATCTTTCCTAGTCCATAATGGCCTGTGACGAAGCTAACGGCAGAGTAGACAAAACCTGACACTCGGAGCATTGATGAAATGGCAATTGGAGTCCGCGAGCGACTCGTCGAAGCAGTCCGGCTGCGACTCCACGCTGACGTTCCTGTTGGCATATATCTGTCAGGTGGTATCGATTCGTCTGCCATTGCAGGAATTGTAACCCAACTTGCGAGAAAGGAACACATCAAGATTGGCAGCCAAGCAACAACGAGAGTGGAATGCTTTAGTGTTCAGTTTCTAGGAAATTCGGGCTATGATGAGTTAGGTATAGGAGTAGTGTTGAACATTAGACTACTTATCATCAATAACTAACATCACGTTTTACAGGTATCGCCGATAGGACAGCCAAATGGTTGGGTGTCGAAACAATTAAGAAGGTTGTTGACGAGGCCATTCTAGCGGATAATTTCACCGACGCAGCATATCGTTGTGAACACCACAACAACGATCTAAACTTTGTGGCGAAGTTTGCACTATCGACGCTTCCGCAAGAGAATGGGATCAAGGTCGTAATAACAGGTGAGGGAGCTGACGAACACTCTGCGGGATACGCATACTTCCTACAGGACCTCCTGCTAGAGCCGGACCTATCTCAGCCGAACTCTAAACCCTCGTCGGACGAGGTCCGCCAGCAGCTGCTAAAGAAAGTGGTTGATGAGATGAGCAATATTTCCCGCAATCACGGAGCGGCCAAGAATGACAAAAACGGAGATAATCGCTTTCTTGCTGACGCCAATTGCTGTTCAATGCCCATGATATTATCCTGGGTCGCACAACCATCCACAAAGGTTTTCGCATCATGGATACGCGACAGTAATCAAGAGTACGATTTCTACAAGGCGTTAATGATGTCGCACTCATGTGAAGTCCGGGCCAAGATGCGATCAACCTGGCATCCACTGCACACATACCTATACATGTGGAACAATAGCGCCCTATCCAACTACATTCTTTCGGATCTGGGCGACCGCCTCGAAATGGCCCACAGTGTTGAGGGACGCACACCGTTCTTGGATCACCATCTCACGGACTATGTGAACAGGCTTCCTCCAAGCGTCAAAGTCGCCTATACCGCACAACAAATGACGGCGGATACTCAGCAGGACGACGCAATCTGGAAGAACGCCGGGTCAGCACTGCAGTCGATAACAGAGAAATGGATCCTGCGCGAGGCGGTTCGGCCGTACATTACTGATGAGATTTTACCGGAGGAGAATGCGTTCCTGGCACCAATAAAGTAGCCAGAAAAGGGGCCCCTGCATCGCATGTTTGAAAAGCTGCTGACTCGTGATGCTGTTTAAAACCTATGTTTTGTCGGCTACAATGTAGTTGAGCGGGGACTAGGTCGAGCATTTGGTGATAACGCATATGGACTTGTGTTCCGTACGTTGCTGTGCGTCGGCTCGTGGGTTGCCTTGTCACAAAGTTTAGGCGTTAAAGGGGCAGAGGCGGCGGACTATTCATTAAGTGCATCTGCTTTTACCATTTCTTTTATGGGGCTGATGGTGTTTTGATGAATCAATGAGTCTACGATGGAATTACCTGCCACAGCTCACGAAGCCCCACTGGAAGCTTTACACAGCTTGCCTGAGTGAGGAAGAGGATAGCTAGCGATCCCCCTTTCCCCCCTCAGTCTTGGACTGATCTCAAGATGCATCCCTAGGTTAGAACCGCTAAGCTTCACGCTATGGGTAACTATCCATGATGACCGCGCAACCTTATCTAAACCAAACCTTGGAATAGTTATATCAAAATATATCCATTTGCCTAAAAATTGCAAAGAAGCCATAAATGCCATCATACTGCCTCTAGGTTAAGAGCAACGGCCTTGAAGACTTAGATTGAGATTGACCTGGTTCCTAAACAAAATGACATGCGCTCCTGGGAGGGGCGAGTATCCTATTGTATTCAGGCAACCAAAAACTCAAGGCAGAAATCTAGAGTCCCATTCTATTAAATTTCCTAAGCTTTAACCTGCATTCAAATAGAAAAGAAATTGCCATTTCTCTCGACCCCGTTGAGAAAATTGAGTAGAAAATAAGGTAGTTAATATTTAATGACGAGTAAAGATAGAAGTAGGAACAAAATCTTCCAAGGCAAACCGCATAAAAAAACGCCGCCAACGCCGCCAACGCCTGGTGAACTCCCTTGTCAACATGCGCATATTTGCTCATGGCTCCACTACTTCCTCCCAAAACCCGACCTCTGGATATCAACCTTATGCACTCAATAAACATCAATTCCACCCAATAACGCCCTCCGCAACTCTCACCCCTGTCGCATTAACAATCAACATCCGCCGCCCAATCACCCCCATCTCGCACGTATCAAGTCGCAACTTCCGTACCGTCGAGTTGCCACCCATCTTCTTCTGACCAGTTATGAGTTTCATACTGGCTAGAGCTGTGGGTGAGGCCTCAAGATCTTCCGGCCGCGTTAGATTCTGGAGTGGGAAGCGGTGGAGGGGCGGGAGTGCGTCTCGGGATTCAGAGGGTGTTAGGTCGCCGTCGGGACTGGGAAGGAGGGGAATATTAATGTTGGGGTGATGTCTTGCCCTGTCCTGACTTGCTCTGCCCAAGGAGGGGGGAAATGGGGAAGGGAGGCTATATGGTATGTGATAATGAAGACATACTGTATTTCAACCCAGTAGGCTCTAAAAGTCTCTACCGGAAAGGGTTGGATCTGCCTTTGTTCTGCCTGTTCGCCCGTTGGCCTATTGATATAGAAGTGAATCGCCTCCCTTTCAGCAGTGTGGTGTTCACGGAGAGTGACCTGGTAGTCGAATAGGACACTGTTGCTTGCTGTTTCGTCTGCTTCCGTGATTAGGGGTCGAAGGAAGGCTGTGGCTCCTCCCTGGCTGGTTCTCGAGGAAAACCCGTTGCACATATTCTTATGCAGCGCCGTCTAATGGCGGATATTCGTAGTTATGTTTGAGGTAATGAGATGAGGGTCGAATGAAAGGGAAGCGTATAAATAAGAGGGAGAGAGATTTCATGTAGCTATCGTTGATTGCGAGAGAGAAAGGGGGATGATTACATTCCTGTCTGTCTGTATATATCACATATCAACGCCTCCGCCTCCGCCTCCGCCCTCCGCCCTCCGCCCTCCGCCCTTTCCCTGGCGTGCTGGATCTGCAAAAGGATGTTCTGTATATCTCCACTTTGACTCTTGATGTATGAGTACCATGGTAGACTATTTAAGATGCGTTAAGGGGGTTTGAGCACATTTCTGAACTTTATCTTAGATCAGGCACACAGTGAGCAAATTAACTCGCTGAATGGAGAAACCTCTCTAACAGTACGGAGTATATTGATTGAGATTCTGCGTAGATAATATCATCTGTTTCCCATTCCATAAACGTCTGTATGCCCCATTTCTCAGTATATCTCACGCACAAACAACCCTATAACCCATTTTCTACACATTTCACCCCTGGTCTCAACCATGGCCCAGACATATTCTCTTCCACCCCTCCCTTTTGCCTACGATGTAAGTAAAGAACTTTTTTGCCCCTTCCCGCCTTGCGGCAGCATCTGCGGTAGGGCTAAACTCGGGATATCAAAAAAAAAAAAACTTCTCGATACTAGGCTCTCGAGCCCGTCATTTCCACGCAAATAATGGAACTTCACCATGCCAAGCACCATAACACCTACGTGGCAAACCTCAACAAAGCGCTTCAAGACCAGATGGAGGCGATAAAGGCAGGAAACATTCGCGATCAGGTTAATCTGCACGCTATAATCAGTTTCAACGCCGGTGGACACATCAATCACTCGCTCTTCTGGGCCAACCTGGCCCCTTTGGGAGCCCCTGAAACCAAGGTCGACGCGGCGCCGAAGCTATGGGAGGCAATTCGGCAGCGGTGGGGAGAAGATGATGGTGTATTCCGGCAGAAATTCAGTGAGGCGTTGCTGGGAATTCGAGGGAGTGGATGGGCTTGGTTGGTTCGCCAGGGAACCCAGGGGCCGTTGGCTATCGTCACAACACATGACCAGGATATCGTCGCGAAGGATGAGGTGCCTATCTTTGGGATAGACATGTGGGAACATGCGTATTACTTGCAGGTGAGGACTGGCTTTGGGATCACATCATCTCATTCGTTTATTACTTTTTGGTTTGTTCCATCTCTTATGTCTGACGTTGAATCTATTCTGTGATGCCATTTAGTATCTGAATGGGAAGGCAGCCTATGTCAAGAACATCTGGGCCGTCATTAATTGGAAAACAGCAGAGGAACGATACCTTGGAGGGAGCGTTGATGCCTTCAAGGACCTCAGGGCGTCGATCTAGTTGGTATTTTCGTTGATTAGGCTGAGGTTGCCGGTGTGGTTTGAGAGCACTGGAACGCAGATCGGACATGTTAAAGGCTCAAAAGACGCAGCCGTGACTAGCGAGTGACTCATATTAAGAAAAATATGACCTCGGTTTTCATGTATATCCCGCCTTCAGGCGAAATCAATAGGAAATGAAGGGATGGACACTGAGGTGTACATCTTGATATAACCACCCTTGCTGTTGAAGATGCGTGATAGACAGGGTAGCGGGTTCCGCTAGGCCAATGAGCGCTTCAATGGGGAAAGGGTAATTATCCCGGATAGCACGAGCCTGAATCTTTCTATATATTTACTATATTGTTCATGAGACTCAAAATTGCTCCAGCAAGCTAGTTGCTGGTCCCCAACCCTACATTATTTATAGCTACAGCAGCCTATTATGATGTCACTGTGTAAAAACTTAATTCCACATAATACTCATTATAGACACACACCAATTAAATAGTTCTACTGTAACTACTCTGTAATTGGTAGTTATTATTTAATATTTAATACTATCTATGATATAGTCAGTATTTATCTGTCAGAATCTCAGCTAAAATATCCAATTGACTGAAAATGTCACTTTAGGCTGCTGTATTAGCTTCCGAATCAGAAGTCTCTGTTCGTCCAATCAATCCTCGATGGTCTAGTGGTGATGATTTCCGCTTGTCATTCTGTCTCACGACTGACGAGCGCGGGAGACCAGGGTTCGATTCCCTGTCGGGGAGATTTTTCTTATTATCATATGTATGTTTTATTTCTCGTGGAAGAAAGAGCTAAAACCTCGAAGTGTTCATTTTTGCCCATTTATTTTTCACCTGTAGCTTGCAGGAAGTGGCCCTTTCGAGTTCCACGCAACACTATCCATTAGGTTCATCGACGTTTTTCAGCAGTGATATCCAATATCCGATGCTAGGAGAGTCGACTCGGGGGTTGTAGAGCCTAATTCAAAACAGCGATTGAATCAGACCACTGTCAATATGAATAGTAGAATCGATTCGAGAAGCGCACATGGGGGTTTGCGGCCAATGACCAGAAAAAATACCATCCATTGATAGAATAAATTGCCCACGTTTTGAGAAGGTGGAGGTCCGTTAAAAGGTATACGTACATCAATCGTGAGACAGAACGTGTTCAAGAAATAATAATTAGAGTCTAGACTGCAAAACATGTCGTCGGACATTAGAAAACAAGGGGTATAAAAGGAAATCCGAGTTTAACAGTAACTTAAAATAACAGAAATATTTACGCGTATATGGTTGTCCCGTCTACAACCTTAGGTCAAGAAGAAGAGAAAAATATATAAAAAAGCGCCAAAATATAGTACATGCTAGATATCGATGCGAACAGACCATAGAAGGGTTCCGTCCGTGAAGGTAAGCGTAGGAGGATATATTCAGGGCGTGATCTCTTCTATGGTTGGTCGTTTGATTTCGGGTTTCTTCCCCATGAGCTTGTTCATTACATTGGTATTATTGCGTGGTTTTGGTTGCGAGGTACTCGCAGATTTTGTGCTCTCGTCTTCATCGTGGGATATGGCGCTTTCGTTGTCCGTGCTTGTATCAGAATCAGCGGCATCGCTTTGTTCTTCTAGCACGCCCAGGCCAAGGTTCTAAAAGGGGAGAAAACCGTTAGTTGTACTCCAAGTAAAAGCTCCGTATGCGGGGTGTCTATGAGTATCATGAAATGTTCCTGCGGATAGAAGGAAGAAATCGTACCATTTCAATATATTGCCCGTCAACTTCAGTCTCGCCACTATCATCAAGCTCCACGCCAGCTACATTTCCGGCAGCTATCTCTTGTTCTAAATTTTCATTTGCAGCTCTCAATTCGGGAAGGAAGGAAGCCAGTCGATTTCGTAGCGTGGAACTATGAAGTCGTATTGACGGTTTGGAGTGCGGTCGGAGGTGTGGGATGGAAACGACGTCGCTAGCGTTAGATACGGTAGGAGTGTGGTTGCGTTCTAATTCCGACTCGCTGCCGGACGACGATGATGATGAAGAGGAAGAGGAACAGGACATTGACGATTCAGATTCACCGCTCGAGGATGTCTCGTCATCGTCTAGTTGCTCCTTGGGTGCGCGATAACGATGCGTTAATGGTCGAGGTACAGGCGCATCGTCACCCCGGTCACTGCAACTGTCGCTGTCGTAGCTAGATTCGCTGCTCGAGCTATCGCTCGCGGAACTACAGCTTGTAGAATCTACCTGGAGCTTGGATCTTTTTGGCTGGGATCCCAGCTCGGGAGAAGGGGTATCCTCATCATCTTCGAGGCACCGCTTCTTGGTGGGTGGGGCGGCGACGGCAGCCATTATTGGCAGAGGGTCCTAAATAATCATCTTCTGGGTCTCGCCTGCGTTGGGGTAAGATATCGTTAATATGAAGTTGAAGAATGATGATGTATTTATTTAGCTTCGAGCCCGTAAAAGCTTCCAAGCTTTTGGAGAAAAAAGAAAGCACGTGCAAGCTCGATCCGGAACGTCAAAGCCCTAACCCTAATTGTAAAAGCTGCAAATTATCAACAGTCCATGGGCTAAACTGGTCAGTTTCCATTGCTGTTGCTGTTGTTTTTGCAATGGCTAGCTACTCTTCAAATGTCCTTTATCGCCTGTGAGAATCCCCATCACAGAAACACCCGCACTAGGCGCCCGCATAAATACATAAATATCACGTGCGGTGCTCACATCCTGGCGGCCAAAAGGCCCCCGCGGACAGTTTTAAAGCCCTTGAGATGTACACGAATGAATCGGGCACCCAGCGCCAAATACGTTGGTTGCAACGGCAAGATTATCAGCAGTGATGCATTCTTGAGATTGATCAGTCTCTTTGCGCTTTTTCTCGCCGTGCTGGTTTGAACGTCGTTCGTACGGGGAGTTATAACTTACCTGCATCCGCCCTGCGCGCGCTGATGAACAACTACTAGCCGCTTCACCAAGGCGCTATAGAATCTAAGAAAGGTACATGCCTCCTGTTTATTGTGCCGTTTCAAGATTGCTTGTGCTGTCGTTCCCTCAGAATATATATTAGCTTTCTTTGGTGGTTAGGGATTGTGTTGTTGGGCTGGGCCATGGAACAAGCTCCCGCAGAAACTCCTTCAGCTCTTCAACCATTCCCCTTCGATAATTGCTCTTTTGCTTGCAAATATGCTGTTGTCTGAGAACGAGGACTATCTTCCAGAGGGACATCCTTCTTGTCTCCTTTGAAGCTACTACCTCGCCCATAATTCAGCCACGAACTCTACAGATTCGAGGGACTTGCCGATATCCTCCATTTGTAGTTCTTGCCCTGGTTTAGTTTCTTCAGAAAATATTTCTTTTTGTATTCCTATGTCTTGCTGGAATGCACTCCCGTTCTTTTATCTCCGCCTTGTTCAAACCTGACAATGAGCATTGTTTTGTACACTTCCTTTGATTGAACTAGTTTCATAACTCGTGTACCTTCTCTGACCTGGGCCGATTTATTTGGGACCCTCATTTGAATTCCTTGAAATTTGATACATCAATAGTCCCTTAGCTTACAGCACACTAGGATCTGCTCTCTCCCCGAACCGCGTAGCATTGCTCTAGCAGTCCACATCTATACGTGATATTTCAGTCCTTTGAGTAAGGCTGAGACAATATCGAGTTTCACGGCTTCACATAGGGAACGAAGATCAAATTTTGTTTCGCGGGAAATACCTCCGCGCGGGTTTTGCCTGTTAAAAGGGGGATCCATTAAACTGCCTCGGGCTTGTGGTTAAATACGTTTGTGGTTCCCTGATAGAAGGTACCGTTGACCGCTGCCACATCATTATGACTATTCTCTTTTGCTAATTTTCGCATACACAAGAACTTCGTTTGATCTCATCGCAAGAGGAGCCAAGTTAGACGACTAAAAGAAAAGAAAAGCCGTCGGTGATTGGTACTTTGTTCTTCTGTTCGCCCAGAATGGACAACCCGAAAATTGTAACCCCCGATCTAGAGCCCGCAGCAGAAAACAGAAGCAGCTCACGGAAGACACTCCACCAGAAAATCCTAGGAAAGCTCCGGCCACTACCTTTGCAGTATCACTGGACAGTCTGGTACGAAAAGCATTCAGAGTCCTCAAACTACGTCGAGAGACTGTATGTGCTTCATGAAGACGTTGCCGACATTGGCACCTTCTACAGAGTCTACAATAATTACCCTTGGCACAAAGTCAAATTGCGAGACACTGTTCACATTTTCCGCAAGGGTACAAAACCCGTGTGGGAGGATCCAGAGAACCAAAAAGGCGGCCGTTGGACGTTCCGCGTGCCAAAGGCCAAGAGCCAGGCGTTTTTTCATGAAGTCGTAATTCTCTGCATGGCTAATGAGTTCCAGGCAGCCCTTGAAGCTGGTACGTTGGAAAACATCATCTCCCTCCTGATATCCTTCTTTCCTTGTCATCCTTACCGCACCGTCTATAGAAACATAGGAGGCTACACTAGCATACATCCCAAAGATAAAAAGAGAAAGCAAAAAAGTTCAATACTAATATAAAGATAGAGCACGACCATGTCCTCGGAATATCCACCTCAGTGCGCTTTAACTCCCACCTAATTTCTATATGGAACAAGTCCGGCTCGAATTTGAAGGCCATCAAAGCCATCGAAGATACCGTTATACAACGACTCTCGCCAGACCTACGTCCCTTATCAGCCCAATCATATTTCTATAAACGCCATGACGAGCATGAGGGTTTCGAGGCCGCAATGGAGGAGCACAAGGCCGCTGTGGAGGAGCACGAGGCCCCTACGAGCAGCGGCGAACGTAGAAATGGGCCATGATAGCATGAGCCCGCGAGACGTTTACATTAACACAGCCGACGATCAGAAGCAGTTATCCTGACTTGGTTCATCTTTCATCGCTTTTTATTTTCTTCGCACGCTATTTTACGATTCAGACGGCTGTTTAATTCCGGTTATGCAGGTTGGCCATTCTCGGAGCTAACCGAGCATTTTCTCATTGTTCCCGTCGCCTCTTGAGGTTCTCCTTTGTCTAGTTTATGCCTCATGCTATTACACACAGTCTCTTTGAAGAAGAACAAGGACGTTTATACCCTCTGGACGATGTCAATGATCTGTTTCACAATGGCAAGGTAGTAAAGCGAAACTTTTTGCCCTCTACTATCGCTCCGTTCTTCCCATATATCCTTAGATATAACTTGATTTTACGGCCTTGCTAGAGAAACCTACAAACAATCTTGCCCACCAAAACCACCATAAATATTATATTTCCACCTTCGTCGCCTTCGTTTTGAATTAACTCACGACATTTATATGTTTTAGAATCCACGCGTATTATATTGCGGAATATGTACTGTACTTGCTCAGTATCAAGGACCTGGTGGTCTCAAACCAGAGAAAAGCCTTGCTGCTATTCCCGACTCGTTCCTTGTAACCCAAACTTGAAATCTGATAGATAGTAACCCATGACCCGAAATTATTCATGAACAACTACGGTTATGATGCCATCAATGCTAGCTGTGACGATATACTCTCCTCCCAAACAATTAGGGAATATGAATGTCCATACATGAAATATCCGTGTGTAGTCAGGAACACAACTATTGAAACCCTATCCTCACTCCAAACTCCAAACTGCCATCATAAATTAATACTGGCAAAGTTCATAGAAAAAAGGCCCAAAATTAGACCAGAATATTATCTGCTCTGCTTCTCCTTCTGCTCCTTCGATCATCCTTGTCGCTAGCCACGGAAGGAGCAGTGCCAGATCCTCCCGGTATGTACCTATCAATCCTATCAATTTCGTGAAGTTTTGATCGATCTTCTTTATCCCTTTCTCTGTCTCGATCTGGCGTCCTTGCTCGACGTCTGGTCGGCGTCCGACTACGGTTGCTGGTAGGAGGTACATAGCGGTCAATATCAGGGGGGCTTCGAGACCGGGATCGCCGGCCTGTGCGCGAGTAGGACTTATCCCGCTCTGCATCCCGTTCCCGACCTCTATCCCTATCTCTGTCCCTGTGGCTGCGGGAGTGGGAGCGGGATCGAGAGCGGCGACGTCGCCTGGCTGACTGAGACCGGGTGCGGCCTCGCGAATAATCCCTCGGACGGTAACAACGGTCATCCCTATCTCGCTCCCTACTCCGCCCTCTATCACTGTCTCTGTCCCTGTCTCTCCCCCGATCTCTATTTCGGTCTCTGTCGCGGCTTCGCGCAGCAGATCTGCTATGGCTCCTGCTGCGATTCCTGCTTCTTCCGCGAGTGCGGGAATGATCATCTCTGTCCAGCTTGCTTCGAGTCGAAGGCCTGTACAAGTCCATTTCACGATCTCTGTCGTCGTATCGTGAGGAGCGCCATGCCCTTGACCTACTTCGTTCGTCTCGATATCGGTCACGGTCACGGTCACGGTCACGGCCTCGATCTCGATCTCGATCTCGCTCTGAACGATCCCGATCCCGATCCCTATCATTATCATGACGATCGTCGCTCAGCTTGGTATCAGATTTAGATGTAGATTTAGGCGAAGGAGACACCTCGTTCTTTAGCCGTGAATGGGAGGCTCGTGAACGAGTCTGATCTGTCCGAAGAGCTTTGCTATCTGTGACTGATGACTGGCGTGAACGTTGTTGCGGTTGAGTTTGCGCCTGAGGTTGAGGTTGCTGCAGCTGCGCATTCTCAAGGGCTTCGGCCTGTTCAAAGTCAAACTCTGGTTTCTGTCGTGATTTCTCCGCTAATTCTTTCCCTTCCTTTAGAAGCAATTCTAGAGCTGCGTCCTCCAACGATTTCTCATCAACAATTGCAGGGATGGGCTCTTCTGGGGTCCTGGAACGCTGTCGGGAACGTCGAGGTGATCGGTCGAGCACGGTATCCCGATCCCTATCTCGTCCACGATCACGGTCACGATCACGATCTCTACTCTCTCGATCCCTTTCCCGTTCATCTTCTCTTTCCTTCTCTCGCTCCCGCCTTCTTCGTTCGTACCGTTCCTCCCTCTCCTTTTCCCTCTGCTCTTCTAGAAGACGTCTTTCTTCTCGAATCTTCTCTCTTTCCGCTCGCCTTTTTTCCTCCAACTCCAGCTTCTTTTTCCGCTCTTCCTCCTCCCTTTGTTTCTCAAGTTCACGTTGTTTCCGTAACTCCTCAGCCCTAGCCTTTGCCTCTTCGATTTCACGTTGTTTCTGTTTCTCAAGCTCCTTCAGCCACGCTATTTCTCGTTCATTTCGCTTAGTCTTGACTTCACGTTCGTAGTATTCGTCTGCCCTACTACCCCTCTCTTCCTCTAGCGCAGCCATTTCTTCGCCAACTTCTTGTCGACGGATAGTGCGAAGGGAGTCGAGGATATAGTCCAAGTGGTTAGAACATATCGCATCAATGGCCCCCTCAACGCTTTTGTAAAGGTCACTTCGATCAACGGCGCCTTCTATTAGAGTTGCCGCTTTTCCTCTCTCCCTTGACAATAAAGAAGGATCCCGGTCAATTTCAGATTCGGCCATTTTGATCAAAGAAGATGTAAGAGAATTTTTAGCTTCCTATGGTAAAAGAGAATGGGTAAGAGTTAGTAGTGGTCGAGAACATAATAACCCTTAACAAATGATATAGATATAGGTAGCTGCGTCTCAAGGGGCTGTGGAGGCTGCTGCTCACACTCTCGCTAAATTCCGCCCATATTTTCTTTCGAACCGAGTCAAAACCACCCTTCTTCTTAAACGCATATAGAAGGCCATCGATTGACGTTCGCTGCGCAGCTGATAATGGCAGATCTGAAGTTTTGAACTTCTTGCGCTGGAGGCTTTCAAGATCGATTCCTGGCCGCTTGACGCCAGCCGTCTCCACGTCTGAGCCAGTCATGGCGACTAGCTCGAACAAGCGAGGTCCGTTAAATATTTGTTAGAGAATTCCTCACATTTCTGAATAGTATTTAGTTGCGACCCATCTCTCGTCGATGATTCCCAGGCGTTGCGCGTGCAGTGAACATGCTCTAAATAGAAGTCGCGATGTTGACGATGGTTATCGCTCTCCGACCGGCGGAATTATTTTCCCGGTGCCGACGCTTCCTCACCACTCACGAACCTCCAAAAGTCATTGATCCGGGCCCGGAACCGCATCTCTGGAGCGCAATTGTCTACAAGGACGCTTGCTACACAATTCGTGAGAAGCCAATTCTTTAATAACGAGTCGTGAGGCGCGCATACACCCCAGACACCTGTCCACGGCACATTCCATCCGGCTCTGCGCCCACAAATTCGAGCCAACCCCTGGCATCGCGCCCCATCGATCCCGAATAACATTCAACCATGCCTCTTCACAAAGTCCTGTTCTGGAGCGGCTTCGGTATGTCGGCCCCTTGCTTGGGGAGGGAAAACTGGCTATGGCTTGTTTTTTCTCCGGAAGTCTAGCAATTCCAGGGACACTGCAGCTGTCCATTTTCTATTTCCCTTAAAGTGGGATATATCCCGCGAAAGAAATACCTACTAACTGGCGAACTCTACAGGCATTGCCGTTCGCTTTTGGCAACTCGGTATCGAAATGCGCCCTCTTTTCCAAAAACAAGCACTATGGGTGTATCCTCTCTTCGCGACAGTTGGGGGCAGTTTCGGATATTGGCTCGAGGGCGTTGACAGCAGACAAATGGCCATCTTGGCTGAACGGAAAAATAGTCTCCTAGAAAAGAGACAAAGGAGAGCAGAGAGGGAGGCTGCGGAGGGCGGCGCGGTGCTTTGAAGGACTGAAGAGATAGGTGTCTTAGCGAGCTTGTCGTGAGCAATTTGGGCGAGCACTAGCATATCGCTCGACCCTAGGATGGCTTGAGGTGAGGGAGGGATTCGAACGACTACGATAAATTCAATATACTGGGTATCCTTTTCTAGCGATACAACCGAGATGGAATATATATGAAAGCTGTATAAAGAAAAAAGACTTTCACTGTTATCAGTTTTATTACTCTGGGGATTCATTCATCATTTTTTCTACAATAAACAATCTACCTGTTATTCAGAACTTTTCAGTCTTTTAGTCTTTGGTGGTCCAAGCTGTTGGTATTCAAAGATTGATCAGAAATCATTGAGATATTGCGTATGTACATAGCCAGCAAAGAAAGCCAAAATCAATTGAAGCAAGGCAAATATTCATTGACGTTTGCAGCCACTTACTTCTCCTCTGCTTGTGGGCGGGGTGGTCCTCGTCTGTGGTTCATTTAGGGCGTTCGTTTCACACCATGAGGTCGCCCAGTAAATAATTATGGGCTACGAGGGTCATCTTCAAGCCAGAGGCGCGTGTGGGACTGGTAGCGCTGCGGAAAAGCTGGTTGATACAATCCAGCACGGGAGTCATTGATAATATTATTTATCCGAAAAAGGCCACGAGCTTATGGATGGATTGATAAACTTGTCGAAACGGGGGCTTCTGTATACAAATTACCAGGAAGGCATGCGTATTAGATGGAGGATATGTTATTCTCCGAATAAAATACTAAGGGGGTAGCAACCCAGCTTGATTTAACCCAGGAAAAGACAGTTAACCAGTGCTGGAGATAGAGAACAAGAAGGAAGTTATGAAGACAAGAAAAATATATGGAAAAAATTGAGCTATTCCTATTATCATCAGCTTGCAAAACATTAATGGGGTATATGTATCAAGTTATAAATATATCTATCCACTTTAACCCTGCTCAACCGTAAACTGTACGGACACTTCCCATTTCTGGCCACCTGCACCGTACCCGCCCCCTAATCGATTTTTTATCATGCTGATGATCCTCTCTCGCAATCTGGCCAAGCTTTCCTCTGAGCCAGCCACTCGTAGTTTGATACATGCTATGCACAGACCGTAGTGGACCTGCCAGAATTTTGCCTCTTCAATCTCCGACACAGCTGGGTGGCTGGAAATGTCTCTCAGAACATCAGAAGTTCCGGAGCCAGAGTACGACATCAGAAGCATGGATCCAAGTGTTTTAACTAGACGAACGCCAAAAACGCACATGGAGATGGCAACGGTGAAAGAGAGGATTCGATCCAACCATAGATACATTTGCACGGACAATAGCGGAAGCAAGAGGAGAATCGTTGAGCATGAAAGCGTCAGGAAGTGAGCCGGGTTGCTAAGGATAGAAGGTAGGGATTCGATGTAGGCAAAACGGATAGCTTTGCCAATCCTTGCGTGGTTTTTCAAAGCGATCGCGGATATCAATGTAGCCGTTATCGCCAGTAGAGCCGTGATATCGACGCTCCCCGGTGAAACTCGCGGGTGAGAGTGGGAATGATGGGGCTCGTGCCCTGAATTTTGCAGCAAATGTTGGACCGTATGCGAAATTAGATCTCCCCCCATGAAGAATAGTAGCACGGATAGAGCAAACCCTGCAACGACTTCCGCGCGCTCCAGGCCGAAAGGATGACGAATACTCGACCGTTTCCACACCTCAAAGTTTCCAAGTATGTCAACGACTACGCAGAGCATGGCGCCCAGTGAGTCGAAGAGTATAAGATGTGATAGCCCGGTCATGGCCATAGAGCCATGGGCGGTCCACAGCGTATAACCAGCCACCACCATGTGGCATACGCTCCACCAAAACCGGATTCTCTGGTCATTTGACATGCTCCCCAGACATTCTCCCCATGTTGGGATTGGCAGGGAGTTCGGTAAGGGCATCGGCGACCTAGGCGGGGGCTCTAAGAATATCTGGTGGGATACGCTGCTATGTTTATACTTGTGTCCCCGTCTCTGGCCCACATTCTTTTTTTCAATTGGGACATTATATAGTTAGTTATCATGTTCGGGCGCACCTGGGATTTCTATTAGGGTTGCCATACCGATTTTGTTATAGGGCTCTTCGCGAGAGCGGTCGGTTTGAAATTAAAAGGTCCTTGCATGTTTTCCGCAGAACCCATGGCCGAGTTCTGGGACGAGTCTAAAGAATCAGAGAGTTTAGCAAGTGCGCAATGGATGAGTAGTTTAACGCGGGTCGGGTATCAGATTAATCACCTAGAGTCCCAAAAGCTGAGAAAGTGTTCACCATTGGCGACAAGGTATTCCGATCATAGCTCTTCATTGATGACATCACCATAAAGCTCTCTGGACCCGAATAAGGGTCGCCTGAGGGCGGCGTGGGAGTTCGAGGAGGGATCGGCAGCGGCAGAGTGTCCGCCATGGCTAATCAGGGTATCAAGCCACGGGACAGCTTCGTTAAGTAGAGGAGAGGAGGCTATAATTTGCGAGGTTGGAAAGCTTCTGTCTGAGGTAAATGGCAGTATTTATTTATCCTGACCTTCCATCGTAACAAGGGGGGTCGTACATGTACGTGCTCCGGATATTTATCATCCAGGCTGTTTTACTCCGCATGCCCAGGTTAAGTAAATAGACCGAGATCTGGTCCTGGCCGCTTGTTGTTGCTGTTCCAAGGTCCACAGCCGAAAGTCAGCCGCCAGCCGCTCTTGGCCTTTTGCCGCTGCCGCCAGCTGACAGCCGCAACCAACTCCAACCACATCTACTGTAGAGAGTCTGTACAGCTACGACAAACCCAAACTCCCTACTCTTTGAACGAGGAAAACGAGGAAATAACCAACCAGCCGGAGCCCGACTCTGGTAATGGCCCTTATACTCGCATACGGTTGAGCTCCTATGGCTCAATCACCTCTGGTCCATGGAAAACCGCCGCGCGCTTCTCTTCTTCGTGCTCCTGTTCTTCCTGCTATCTGCTCCAGAACCACGCCCGCCCCCCTTCAGTTTCGAGCGAGAGCGCCACCAGCAGAAGACGGAGGAACAGCGGGCTCTGTCGCTCCTTAATAGCTCGAGATATGGTGACTTGGACAGCGCTGCGGGTCGCTGGCTTCCTGTGGGAGGCCTGACCAAGGATGATGGCTATGCATGGGGGCTACTTCCTGTGGTAAAGGACCGCGCCCGGGACCAGCTGTACTCGATCCTCCAACACTCCGGCTTGCTGAGCGAACAACCGATCGAATGGCAGACGCATCCACTTCGGTCGGACCTGAATACCTCAGACCTACAGATTCCCGTATATCATAATGTTACCGGGAAGGTCCGGGGCGACTGGGTGCGCTGGCAGGGTCCAGAGACGGCAAACCTCCCGCAGCTGAATACCACTGCAATCATGCTGCGGCATGATTATTTTACCACCACATTCGCGAATAATATTACTACAGACCATGGCACCCTCTTGATAGAGTTACAGGAGGAGGATAGGGAGGGGCTTGCCTTGGCCGGCTCAACTGCCAGGGAGATAAAAGCAGATATGACACTATACACGGATGCGTCGCTGGGAGCCAACCATTACGTACGGCTCTTCGGTGTGCATTTTCCATCATCGGGTGGAATGCTTCTTAGCACTACCAGTGAAAAGTTCGCGGGGTTGTCAGCAATGCCACAATTCGCTCTTTCGAATGATACATTCGAGCTCTCTCGCCTGCTGCTGAACAGGTCACTGACCGAAACCTTGGCCGAAAAGAAAACAGGACCTGTAGATTATCTGCCCTGGTCGTCTCTTCCCCATGGCCCAAGCACCATGACATTTCCGGCACCCAAGTGTGAGTATGTCGTGTATCTTCAGCAACACCCGTTGGTAATAAATGGGCAAATAGCTCGACGTCCTTTACTACAATCGATCGAAGACGAACTGCGTTTCCCCGTGGGTGCCCCAGTGCCACCTGCGCCATTGATTACGATGTCCATGACGCTGTTTTCCCCTGATTGTGGATTCGTGCTGGAAAGCAAGGGATCACCAGCTTACTCCCCTTCTGACGGACTCTACCTTTCTGGCCCAAAGCAGGAACAATACCGGAAACATGCTGGACGGCTAGTCGTAATTATGGCGGCAGTTCTTTGCACTCAGATTCACCTTTTGATGAGACAGATGAAAGAGGCCTCCACCCCGTCAACCAGGAGCAGAGTCAGCTTTTACACAATCGCTATGATGTCTATGGGCGACGCTCTGTTTGGTTCATTTATCCTGATGCAGTTATACGATGAAGCCCCGTTCCTGCTTCTTACCGGAGCTACATTTTTAGCGTTCTTCTCTGTCAGTTTCCTGGCAATGAAATTTCAGATAGAAGTGTGGGTTGTTCAAGCCCCTGAACGCAGGGAAGCCGGTCGATCAGCGTCTGCTCGAGCCCCATCTGGGCCACCACAACCTCTCCCAGCACCAGCAACAGCGCCTCTCTCCGTTGATACGGGCGCCACACCTATCATCATACTACCACCAGATCAGGATGAACCTGAAGACACAACCACTGGCACTACAGCACCCCAAGCAACCAGTGATTCAGGGACTAATGACACGGGGGCAATGTACTCTCGATTCTATTTCACTCTCTTCTGTCTCCTCTTCTTCTCCTCGTGGACATTATTCTGGCCAACCCGCCTCATCCGGATGTATGGCCAAGGTGTATCCTTCATCTACCTTTCTTTTTGGATACCGCAAATATATCGCAATGTAATGCGAAACTGCCGCAAGGCCCTTACCTGGGAATTTGTCGTGGGCCAAAGCCTCATTCGAATATTCCCTTTTCTCTACTTCTACGCCCTCCCGGGCAATGTCCTATTCATCAAACCAGGTTCCATGTTTACGCTTGGCATCGTAGCCTGGGTGTGGATGCAAACAGTGGTTCTCGCTGCGCAGGACCTCCTAGGTCCACGCTTTTTCGTCCCCCACGGCTGGGCACCGCCAGCCTACGATTACCACCCGATTCTCAGAGATACCTCTGCCTCAGGTTCCAGCGAAGACATCGAGGCTGCAGGTGTCTTGCCAATCGGGTTCCTCCGAGGCGAAGAAAGTCATTCCGCCGCACCATCCAGCGCAAAAGACGACGACAAAAGTAGCCCGGACCACAATAACACTAATAACAATAATGGTGGCAAGGATCGTAAAAGCAGGCGCTTCGACTGTGCTATCTGCATGCAAGATATTGAAGTACCCGTCCTCGGGGTGCCGGGCGGTAGTACGGGCGTTGCACCAACCAGCGTAGCAGAAGGGGCTGCAAACCTGCTCAGCCGGCGTGCTTATATGGTCACGCCATGCCGGCACATCTTTCACAGTACGTGTTTGGAGAGCTGGATGCGGTTACGGCTACAGTGTCCGATTTGTCGAGAGAACCTGCCTCCCATTTGAGCGTGTTATATTTTATGTTCTGTCATTTTCGCTTTTTTGGTGCTCGGAAACGCTCTCTCTGTACAGTAAATTTGTTCTGCTTTCTTTTTTTCCTCGTTTCTTTTTGCCATCGGATCATCTTGTGGTGTTTGATTGTGTTTGTACTCAATGCAAAGGTATAGAATTTCATGGGTTTGCATTTGGGTACTGATTTGGGTCTGGAAATTTTAGATCAATTGCATTGATATCTGATTGATGAACAGACATTTATTTTCCTTCGTCTCCTCGTGAGGATCTGAAAGACATATATATATATAAGAAGTCGCAGGTTGCCCCTTAGTTCTGTTCCATCTATTGTCTTCACTTTCCCGATTGGATTTAATAGGAGCACAAGGATAGTGTTGGTGACTTTGAGCACATAACGCAGTGGAAATCACAACCCTGACATGTTGAAACATCAGTAGATAAGCAGATATACATATCGCAACATGGAAGGTTAGGGCGGGAGAAAAAAAAAAAGACAACAAAGTCAAACGGTAGAAGATCCCCATCACCCATAAACAACCCAAGCCGACATCATAAAAAACATGATTTAACAAAATATGGCAAAAATGTGAACCCCCTCTTGGGGAAATCCAAATCATTTCTTTACTCAGCCTCCTCCTCCACCCTAGCCTGATACTCCTTCTTCTCCATCAAGCCGTCCAACTCAGTCGGATCCGACAGCTCAATCTTGGCAAACCAGCCCTTATCTTCGGGGCTCTCGTTGATGATCTTGGGCGACTCCTCCAGCTTCGTGTTGGCCTCGATGATCTTGCCGGTCACAGGGGAGAGGATGTCTGAGGCGGACTTGACGGACTCGACGGCACCGATGGTCTCGCCTGAAGCAACTTCGGTGTCCACGGTGGGCAGCTCAGCGAAGACGACGTCGCCTAGGGCGTTGGCGGCGTATTCGGTTATACCGATTGTGGCTGTTGGTTTGGGGCATTTGCGTTGTTAGTTAGAGAGATGTTTTCTTGTCAACGGTGGTTTGGTTCTTGGATCTAGCATATGGCGTAGATTGGAAGGACAAAATATCCAATTGTATAATAAATAACGAATTATAACAAATCCAAGAGAGAAAAAAAGAAAGAGATATCTAACCGGTCTTTCCATCCCCAGCCAGCTCAATCCACTCATGCTGTTCGGTATACTTCTTCGCTTGCCCTGTACAAAACAACGTCAGTCAGCGTCTTATATCCAGTGGGAATTGGTTTTCACCGGAACAAACAATTAAAAACAATGCAATTGTATCCAATGGGCATATCGTCACTTACATAGGGAGCTCTGCGAGAATCCTCTTCTGCAATCCCGAAAGGCGGGGCGGGAGATATATGCAGTGCGGAGAGCTGGGGAGGAGACTCTTTGGGCAGCCCAGAGCCTGGTCCGGAGCGGGTTGAGAGTGCGGACAGCAGCAGCAGCAGCAGACATTGTGAGCGGGGGAACTAGAACAGTACGGCAACAACGCAGGAGATTAAGAACAATAGAGCAGCAATTGGCCAGGGCAGTCGAGAAGGAATTTGATGTAAGTTGAGCGCAAACAATAATAATGGATGTATGTACAGCAAGTAACTCGGTAACTCTTGGATGTGCGCGGAGGCTGAGATAAGCAAAGCCCGGGTTCGGGCGCGTCCCATCGATGTACTGTACCGTCATTTTCCAGCTCTTACCCGGCCAAAAGCGCTGGTTTCCCGCCCGAAGCAGGCAAGCTGTGTATTGCCTGATACCAGCGCCACAATTGCGGCTAAACCCCAACACCGCCAGCTTCAAAATTTCCCGAAAGAGGTTTTTTGTCTCTCGCGGCTGAGACTTCCACGACGGACAGACTATTGTCTATATACAAGAGGTCTCTGGATATAAGTTATATACTATTCGCCACGACCACCGCCCACCGCGCAGATCTATTTGGTTTCTTTGATCCCTCCTGGCTGAAGGCTGCTCACGACACAGCTGCCGGGGATGTTGTATGAGCTGATTGCGGTGGTATGCTATTATATTCTCCTCACTCTGTACTCTGCCATCAGACTAACGCAAATTCAACAGGTCCGCCCGGGCAGCGTCCAGGAGGTTAGAGAGTACGTAATTTATATCCCGTCCTATCTCAGCAATTCCTGCCCGCGATCCCAATTTCCCGGACCTACTACGCATCATACAATCCAGAACAGATGCCGCTCTCTCTGCACAAAACGCAACAGACACGCAACACCCCCCCGAAGAACCAGAAAC